TGCTTTATCAAAATACCCAACACTATTTGCCAAACACATTCACAGATTACACGAGCTTACAATGTTTCTATAAACATAAAAAAAAATCCTGCACCTAAAATTTTAAAGAAAAAAAACTTAAACCATGCTTTTCAATGATAGAATGTATTTTTCACTAATTGACCTGCCTTCTTTGTACATTTGTATTTTAGAGTATAAATTGCCTTTTTATTTAATATTTATTATAACCACATTAAGAGCTTTTAAAAAATGGGAAAGGAAAATAATTATGAAATTATCTCATTTTGCGAGTAAGCGTTGCATAACAGCACTGTATTAAATGACCGTGTTGTATGATCATTCAGACTATTAAATATTTTCTTTCATTTTTACAAACAACGTGAATGATAAAATGTTAATACATTCAACCCTTATCTTTATTGCAATATTTTCTTGATGAAAATATATGACAAATTCCAAAAAAGCCTAGACAGAAGTATTGTGACCCGAGGCGATGGAGTACAAGGATTCACTTCATCCTTTTTTAAAATCACATTTGTATTTATTTCTAAATGCAATTAATCTAAGAAAACAACATATAGATTATAACTTTATTATAGATAGTTATAAAATAATATTTTGAAACATCAAAAACCCATACTACAGCTTACCTGCTACACTTAAATATTCATATCAGAGATCAGAGAGAAGTCTATTTTTAAAAATTATTTGAACTGCTTCAGGAACAGAAGAGTTTTCAAACTGCTTCCCAATATAAACTTGTCAGTTATCAGTTAGAATGGAAAGTGGGTCTTTCTTAAAAAGCTACCATTATTGCCATCCAAATTTCGAGTCATACATTTTAACTATCATCTCAGAGAAAAAGATATTATCTCTTGCACACTTTACTATTCTGTGAATATTTGGAGCTTATGGTGTGGAACCAAGGGTACCCAACGAGGTGTTGCATAGCGCAATTTACGCCATCAAAGTTTTGAAGGGGCACATTTTTAAGGGGTTTTCAATTTTTAAGTGGAGGTGTTTTAATCTGGAAGTACTTTCAAACCAAAAAACGAGGAGGAAATATGCAAAAGGCTACAATAAAAGTAATTGTAGACTGTCTACAAAATTTCTAATTCTACTTCCGCTTGCACCGTTTTTAAGAAAGGAGGCAATAAAATTACTTGGAACAGGAGCACACACCATCGGCCTTGCGGGGATTGGCACCCCTGGTATGGTTTTCCAATCCAATCCTTCAAAGATCCTTTAACGGTTTTTATCTTCTAATCTATTATGCACACCTTTCTACGCACGGTATCTTCGAAAAATCTAAACTCACCGAACATAAATGAGTTCGGAAGTAAACTAATTTAGAAAATGTTTTATAAGCCGTGAATTGGGAATGACCACAATTAAAAACCTTTTCAAGATGTTGATTTTTTTCCAAACTTTAATTATGTTTTTAAAATTAGCAAAATCAAGAACAGATTTTTATAAAACAAAAAACATAAATCTTTAGAATGTAATTTTCGTTGAATGAATTCCTAACTACACAACCCGGGTTAGGTTAACAATATGTTTATGAGGAAATTCGATTGAATCAAAATAAGAATTTGACATATATTTATGTCGTTCCCTGTCATAAATAGGGGTGTAAAATAAATTAATAAAATCTTATCACTTAAAACGGTCAAAATTACGGGTTAAAACGGTCACGCGTGTACTTTTAGATTATATAGAAATATATGTACTAGTAGCCAGATACTACCAAATATGTAAGACGGTAGGAGGTAGGAAAGAGAAGGAAAAGGGACTGGATATAAAATTGTCAATTTTCAAGACAGTTTATAACCCAATTCTCCTCTATGGTGCTTAAAGCTAGATTTTAACTGATAGACTTGGGAACCGAATGGGAAATGAAGTACATACGACGGGCGGCTGGGACAACAAGAAGGGATCTGATATGGATTTTAACTAATTAGAAAGGAGCTCAAGATGTGCTCTGTGATAGATATCCGTGATGGGTATGATAGAAGAGAAAAAGCTGAAATGTTTCGGACATGTTTGTATGGTGAAAATACACAGGAATCCGTTCGATTCGATGGAATAGCGTCCATCTGGCAGGAGAACGAGAAGTCGTCCAAGAATATTTCTTGAAGACATTGAACGACTAGGAAAAGCCAGGGGTAAAACTTGAATGGCATGAGGGGGAGGGAGCACTCTTTGAATCAAGAAGATTGGTAAGCCTGGCATTATACACCCTCCCGCTGAAATGCACTAAGAGCTTCACTAATAAGTTGTTTTTCATTTACTTTAAAAAAACGATATTAGTGCATGAAATGTAAATGAATCGCTTATTTTGAAAACAGGTTAACACTCAAATTTGAGAAAGTTAACTTTTTGAATAATAATCGAGTTGATTCCTTTTCGAAATTAAACTGAGAAGAAAAATTACTGGGATTGTGGAAATAGCTCCCTCTTAGAAGTAAAATCTTAGCTGCTTAGATCTAAAAGGAATACTCCATAAATTATTTATTTAACAATATCTAAGGAAGAAAGATTGTTAAGGTACTGAAATCTCAAGATAAAAAATTCTCATAGACACAGAAAAAAAGGATTCTTTTGTCTCAAAATAACTCGTACATATTCTGTTAGAACCAGAACAATACAACAAGAAGCCCGAAAGCTTTAAAAGTGATATTTTTTTGTTGTGTGATTTCGAAATTACATGTTTGAAATGATACTAAAAGAGGAAATGCAAGGCAGAAAAAATAAATAAAATAAAATACTTCATTAAATTATCTTAAAGCGTAAACTGTAACATATTCGAATCTTGCGACGGCGCACACTGGGGCTTCTTGGACATCGGCTGTAACTTACTCACAAATTGCAGTGTACTGCTTAAATTTTGTCAGATTATCTTTTCGAGGGTATTGAATTTGAATTCACACACACAGCATTTTGCGGGAGTTGGTTATTTGGACTCAGGATGCCTCAAAACGTGTATTGTCGTTAAAAACTCAGACTCGAAAATTTTCACGATCGCCATACTTACTCTTACTATATATTACATATATAGGTAAGTGAAAGTAAAAATTGGTGGACATGAAGGGGAAACGATATTAGTTTGTCATTAACGCAGTATAACTTCCAAATTTAAAATTTTGTTTTTTCTCCCAATATCAGCAGCTTTAGCTCGCCCCTGTGTTTGCCGGTTCTAATGTGGTCTAGAGAGGCTGAAATTCTATAACATAATTACGGTTATGATAATATATCGAAAACGTTCGAAAAGTTATAACAAATCGACATATAATTTTTATATGTCATAATCGATAAAAAATGGCTCCCATAATATGATAATGTGAACCCTCATCATATAAAAAAAATCCTTAAAGTTAAAATAAGTCGATACTTTGTTGACCAAAATATCGATCACGTGGCTAAAACTAAACATCTAACAAAGAATAGTCATGGTATATCATTATATGCTGCTGCCGCAAACAATGGTGCTGTCGCCACAGGCGGATCTACAGGGGGAGGTCGGCTTTCATGCTGAATCCTCCCCAAAATCCCAAAATGGTAAAATAAAACTATGTTTTATGTAAAAAAGTTGCTTTTAATTGGACATCAAGGATTGGACAAGACTCACTCAAAAATCTTAACTTAAAGGCGTAAAATTGATTACTAATTCACTCTGGCAATCAAATAATTATAATTCATTGCTAAATATTGGCTGCCAACTCTCAATGTTTATTCATATTGTTTCGTTTAACTTTTATTTTTTTAACCAAACCGATTTATAAACACACGTTTTGTTATTTTTCACAAAAATATCAACTTATAACACAGGCAGATCTAGTATGATTCAGGATGAAGCTCCCTCCTCCCTCCCAGAAATGATAAAATATAACCCATATATGCTTGTTTAAGGTGAAAATTTTTAAATATTATAAAATATTATAGTCCAAAGTCTAATTGATTAGATCCAATTAAACTTTGGAGGACTACATGCAAAAAGCATGGTTGAATAAGATGGCTTGAGGATGGCTTATCGGCCGAAACGTAGCTATGAAAATTAAAATAAATATGCTTAAATATGGTGAAAAAATAAACAGCCTTATTTTATAATAAAATATAACCATTTTTTCCAAAAAAAAATATTAAAAATTATCTCTTACAGTATTCTTATTCGTTTAATTATATTTAATAGGACTTCAAGAACCACTTAAACACCATTTCATATAGGTTGTTAATTTCTTTCTTTTTTTTTTCAAATTAATTATCATTATATGTATATGAAAAACAAATCTTTGGGGCTGAAGTCCCCAATTAAAATTCCCCCCAAAATTAAATCTTGGATCCGCTAGTGACACAATATTTTGACATTTGTGTGAAGTCTGCTGTAGTTTAGAGTACTGTGTGTGTGTGTGTGTGTGTCAGTACAGGTGTAGGTTCCCCCAACCTGGAGGGCCAGTGGCTGACTAGAGGATAGGGTTGCCACTTCCCAAGGCCATAGGAAATATTTTTCAGTTATTTACCCACATTGGTGTTTCCAGACCTTTAAATTGCAACAGGAAATTTATGTTTCATTCTTTAGACTTTATCGTTATTATTTAGTTCATCCTCACTTTCTCCATCTTATTTTAATATCGAGAATCAGCTTTTCCCTGACAAATGTAAAACTTCTTAGTTATTTATTTTTTATATTAGCCGTATAATGAGATTTTTCGAGACATGTTTGATTTCCACAACTCTATTTTAAAGAAAAGAATACAATATCTTTGCGATTAATATGTTATTAACTATCTAATTGATGGTCTTCAAAATAAGCCAATCTGTAAAGTAAATCATTTATTTTGACTGTTAATCATGAACTTTATCTTAAAATTATTGATAGAATATTCATTTCTAGTCAAAAATTAAATTAATAGTAGAAAAACATTTAAAATTTAACTAGTATCTTTAATAATGAACATTTTTATTATTTTCATTCATGTCTCTAATAATTATCTTCTTTTTAGAGGCCCTTCCTACAATGTCTTCTTCAATTGACGCCGATGGAAACGCAACCAAAAATTCTATCTATCCTAAGAAACCTGATTCTAAAATATGTCTTAGCGACGGTTGTATACACACAGGTAATTTTTATATTTTATAATAATTATGGCCAATAATCTTGCCAAAGTAATGTTATAGACTTTCTTCTCTTTTTTCACTTTAGCTTCGATGTTGCTTAAAAGTATGGACCTTGAAGCATCTCCCTGTGATGACTTTTATCAATTCGCTTGTGGCAAATTTCGCAAGAAGATGATCCCAGATGACAAATCTTCCTTATCTACTTTCTCAGTCATCAGTGATGATCTACAACTTCAGCTTAGATCAATTCTTGAAGAGAAGATTATGCCAGGGGAACTGAGACCTATCACTTATGCTAAAACATTGTATGGCATTTGTATGAACAAAAGTAAGTTTAATATCATTAATTATCTAAAATAGCCAGGATCTAAACACATTGTGTGATTTTTTATTATCTTTATATTAAAATAATTTTAGTTTACATATCTAAGCTCTTCAAAAAGTAGACCATACTTTTAAAGAGACTTACCTTCAAGAATCATTTCATCCTTTATAATTTTATTAAAACTAATATTCAGCACAAGAAGAAAAATGTCTCCAATTCACTTAATTTATTTTATCAAATGGTGTATATGATGTTAAAGATTATTTAAAGAAATTGTGTACAATTAAATGAATTTTAAGACAATCTCTGCATTCCACAAATAAAAAATAAAAAAGTATGCCCAAACTTTCGTAAATTAGAAAATACAAATTATCTTCAGAAATGAGAGAGATATAATAAATAGTCATTTACCTTATCCTTTTAAAGAGATTCTTATGGACATGTACATTACATATTTCATATGTAGATTCTTTACTTTCTAATCAATAGGACACATGAATTTACATTTATTTTATAAATTAATAAACCCAAATTACATTATTAGGGAAAGTGGGATGTTTTCAAAAACTTTTTTAGATTTTATATTTCATTGCCTCTGGGTATTAAGAGATAATAATTTGGCTGAAGGTGTCTCAAAATTAAGTAGTCTATTTTATTCTTATTGAATTCCTATCAATCTTAATTTCTCAAAGTTTACATGAATATGATTTATTTTAGGCAGGATTGAGGCTAACGGGGAAGAAGGTGTTAGGCAGCTGCTAAAAACTCTTGGTGGATGGCCAGTCCTTGAAGGTGACTCCTGGGAAGATGGAATGTTTGATTGGAGGGAAACAGTCTATAAGTTCAGAAATGCAGGATTATCTGTTGATTATATAATAGACTTTAGTGTGTCGGTTGATTATAAGAACACCACCTATAGGATCATTGATGTGAGTATGTCCTTCTAGGGTGTAGTATTTAAAAATATTGATTAACTAATAATGTTTTATTATTTGGTAATGTATAAACTGACTATAGAAAAAAACAAACACATTTTTAACTGTGAAATAAAAGTGTTTGTACTGTTAAATAAAATTTCTGTACCTTCATTATCCCTGGAGAATCAGATGAGACTTGTGGCTCACAGAATTGGAGCAGTGGAGGTTTGTTCCCAAGAAGTTTCTTGGAAACAAAAAAGGTGATAAGAAAAACAAAATGATTATTTAAAATTCAAGATTTATCCCTATATTGTTGTCTTACTAAGCATGGAGTCTCACTTTGAAACACGAAAGTAGGACTCAATTCATGCAGATGTGATACCTTAATAGTAAAGTCAAAGATAACGCCATATAAGATACAGTAAGTAAAAAGTAAAAGATACAGAATGCCACCTTATGGGCTAACTTCCAAATTAAATCAGCCAAAATCATCCTATTAAGACTATAGTAGGCTAGGCATGTCATAATGCATGTACCTTACATTGATACCTTAAAAGACTATCTGAGTATGAGGATAGAAGAAGAAAAAGAGGATGGTGTTCAGATGTGATGTTCAGATGATTTCGAACCTGATGTACTGAAGTTTCCAAATACCAGAGCTTGGTGGACTATAGCACAAGACAGAGGTTTTGGAGACAATGTCATGATGCAGAGAAAACCTGTATTGGGTTGTAGTGTCTTTGATGATGATGAAATACATATAAATCATTTCCGTCAATCGTATTCTCAAATAGATATTCTGTTGCTTTCAGAACAGCTAATTTCTCTTTTAGAAGTTGTATTGAAAATAGGATGAAATATATAGATTTATTCACATATAGTTACTTCATTATTTATTTACTTTTTTAATCAATATATCTTATAGTAACTTAATCTTTACAGTTGGATCAAGGTTCATTATCATTGAACAGAGAGTTCTTCATCAAGGGTCTCGAAAACAGGCTGGTGTCCGCCTATGCCAAATACATGGTGGATATGGCCATACTTATGGGAGCAGAGCCTGAACGTGCAAAGAAGGAGATGTCCATGGCTTTGGACTTTGAAATGCTACTGGCCAATGTAAGTAACACACCATTTAGGCAGCAGTATATTCAGTTAATGAAACCTTATTGAGAACTCCATTACTTTTCAGATTTCTCTACCAATGGAGAAAAAGAGGAATGCTACTTTACTTTATAACAAAATGACTGTTCGGGAATTGCAAGCCAAATTCCCATCAATTCCATGGAGAGATTATATATCTAAAATCCTTCCAGCTAAAATTAGTATTGATGAAGATGAGCCTGTCATTGTAGAGGTTCCATCTTACATTACTAGTTTAGAAAAGATTCTTGAGCAAACACCCAAGAGGTTTGAAAATATAATTATTTCTCTAAATGTTTACAGATTAAATTTATTTTATTTATAATGATGATTTTTTTTCTCATGAAGGGTTGTGGCAAATTACATGCTTTGGAGAGCTGCTAGCAGCGTAGTCAGTTACATGCCTGAAAAATTCAGAAATCGGCAATTGGAGTACTATACAGCTGTTTCTGGCAGTACTGAAAGGGAAGCCAGGTGGAAGGAATGTGTTGATCATGCTAGTTCCAGGTTAGTTTATAGGGAGAAAATTTTTTGACTTTACTTCAATATTTTTGGCTAAACCATTTAACTTTTCTATTTCCCTTTAATATTTTAGACAAAATCCTATTTTGCAACCTTTCTACTTATGCTCTTAATTGTTATTTGATCTCATGTTTTAATATTTTTTTCTTAAATAAATCTATACAGATACTAATAAAGTATTAACTTTGTATAGCTTGTCATTGGCTGTTGGGTCTCTTTATATTCAAAAGTACTTTGATGAAGAAGCTAAGAAAAATGCCCTTGATTTAGTCAGAAGAATCAGAGAAGAGATGTACAAGATTCTTGAAGCTGTCGAATGGATGGATGATGAAACAAGGTGAATTGGTGCTATTATAATATCTATAAACATATATAGATATTATTATTTATTTATTTAGTCCTATTTCTGTGAGATTTTCTTTATGTTGTATTTATTCAACTTTCACAATACTTTTTCTAGGGAGCATGCTCTTACAAAGGCTAAAGCAATGACTGAGCATATAGCTTATCCTGATGAACTTCTTGAAAATGATAAGCTGGAAAAGTTTTATAGTGGGGTAATTGATCTATTTTATCTGTAATTCATAAATTTAATATCTGTACTGTAATTTATTAATAACTGTGTAATAAATGGAATATATGTAACTTTAATTTATGCTTTCCTTGTATTTGCTGACAGTATGAAATTACGGATGGCGATTTCTTAGAAGCTGTTCTCAATACAACCAAATTTGCATTTGAGTTTAATTTTGGTCGTCTCCGTGATTTGGTCAACAAAACTGAGTGGTTTTCTCATGGCAGACCAACTATTGTCAATGCCTATTATAATTCCATTGAAAACTCTATCCGTAAGTGAATTATTTATTTATAAATTCTAAATTTAAAATAACTGAGATTTTTTCAACAAATTTTTGTTGCTACACTGAACTAACAATAATCTTTCTATAACTAATTGTAAATTATTTTATGCTAATTTGGCTTTTGAAATATCGAAATCATGTTTATACTTTTAATAGTTTATATAATTTAATGAAGTATAATTTTATTAGTATGATTTCGCTTTTTTGTCTTATCATAGAGTAAAATACTCGAAATAAAAATTTCTTATTTAACAGTATTGAAAAAATGAAAAAAAAAATTGTATGATAGTAAGAAATATCAATATTATATCTTATATTAAATAAGTCTTTTAATTGTATATTATTTGTTATAAAGCATTTTTGGTCCAGATATCTATAATTTTGTAAATAAAATACTAAATAAATAAATCTTGTTTTAAAATTTCCTTTTATTTTTAGAATTTCCTGCTGGAATCTTGCAAGGTATATTTTTTTCGAATAAAAGGCCGAGTTATATGAACTACGGAGCAATTGGATTTGTGATTGGACATGAAATTACACATGGATTTGATGACCAGGTATGATTCTTTCCAGTCATCAGAGATTCAAGGAATCTTATAAGTTATTTACTAACTGTGTTATTTAATTAGGGAAGGCAGTTTGATGCCAATGGGAACTTAGTTGACTGGTGGGCTCCTGAAACAAAAGACAAATACTTAGAGAAGGCCAAATGTATTATCGACCAGTATGGAAACTACACTGATAGTCAAGTCAACATGAAGGTATGAAGCACAGTATTATTTTTTATCTAACAATATTTTAGTTCTTGAAATGAAGAATCAAAAGTGACATAATTAATACCAGATTATTCATATGACCTATTTAAGCCTTATCTTCCCATGTAGCTAAATGGAATCAATACTCAAGGAGAAAACATTGCTGATAATGGTGGTATAAAAGAAGCTTATAAAGCCTATCTCGCCTGGGTGGAAGAAAATGGTGAAGAACCTAGACTTCCTGGCTTCCAAGACTACACTCCCCAGCAAATGTTTTGGATATCAGCTGCATCTGTTTGGTGTTCTGTATATAGGTAACTTTTTTTTCTTTTGTGAAATTAGTGATGTGCAATTGCATTTTATTCTACCTCACACATGGTTTGCACATTTTACCCCTGTTAATAATTTTTTCAGAGTTATAGTACTTGTTTGTAATACTGATAATACTTTTTTTCACAATTCACCTACAGTAGTCCTCCATGCATGAATATACATGTTAAGTTTCCATTGGTCCGATCATGCAACCTATGAAATAAAATACTCCATATTAACTGTATTCCTATAAGAGAAATATTAAAATAATTATGATCACTTAATAAAAATAGAATTACGATAGAAAACAATTAATAAACAAGTCATTAGAAAGACTAAAAATAAAATTTGTTTATTAAAAAGGTAATTCGAGAATAAATTGGAGATGATCAAACTGAGAATAGTTAAAATAAAACGTAATGGAATAAATATTTATTTTCTAGCCTCTCCTCTCTATAGTATAATTGGTGAAAGACTCTTTATGCCTACAGATTCCACATGCCGAGAAATTTTGGAGTTTGTATTTTCTTATCTCTTAATATCTCTTTTCCAATGTAGTAAAAAATAATTTCCAATCCTTATCGGTTGCAGAGCACATATTCTTCCAACTTTCTTGAGTTATTGATATATCTCTACTTAGTTGATCATCATCCCATTCTAGTGAAGCATTTATCAAGATTGATTTATCAATATTTATTTAGCATTTATCAAGACAATTATTTTTTTTTTTCTGAAAAGCCTCAAAGAGGATCTCTGTGAAGAAAACAATTGTCTAATAGTAGGAATTTCATTTAACTACTTGAGTACATTCTTCCTATTCTTTTATATATACCAGTTATTTCTTCCACTCACAATATAAACAGTAGTAGACCCAAACGGTCAATCTATTTACACTTTTGCAAATATGGAATATTTTTTATTTTGTTTTATATACAGTGTAATTTTAGTAGTCCAAATTCATGAGATTCTACTATATTTGATATTCTACTATATTTTTTTTTAAAATAATTTTACAAAATCAACTGATGAAATATTGTTTCTCACATCACATGATTTATTATAAACATCGTTTGTTTTAGAAATGAAACACTATCCAATAGGATAACAACAGGTTACCACTCTCCAGGAGAATTCAGAGTTAGGGGCCCATTATCAAACAGGCCAGAATTTGCAGAAGACTTTGCTTGCCCAGCTGGTTCACCAATGAATCCCGTCAAGAAGTGTCAAATTTGGTGATGAAGAAGGATCTCAGTATCTTCTGTTTGCCCTAGTCTTTAAGTTATTTATAAGTTATGTCTGTGTTGTTTCTCAAATTTTGTGAATAAATCTTTTCGTTAAAAAAAGTGAGAGTATAGTATATTTTTTTTTAAATCAAATGTTTTTGTTTTGTTTTTTAAAGACATGTCCAAAAAGGATGGATTACATTTTATATAATTTTTTTATCCTTTTTTAAATATATTATTTATGTGATTGATATGTTGCTGTCACAAATTATAAATTAAGAACAACGTTAGTTGTTCTTAATTTAAGTTAAAACACATTAAGAACAAAGTGTAGTTTTTGTATCAATTGATGTGAAAATCTATTAAATATTACTAATTGTTCACTAAGGCTTTATTTCTTATCATATTTATTGGATAATAGAACAACCTTATGAACAGGTTAATTTAGAACTTAAAATTATAATGTAAACAATAAACAAAATTTCCAGAAGCCATACATTTATAAAACATGCAAAGTGTTATGATAAGACATCACCTGCTGGATTATATACCATACTACTGAATTTTAAGAAAATAACAGCCTTCCTCGCTTCTGTTAATTTAATAGATTGTCTGACAAGCAGTTTGAACATTTTTTTGTCTTTCTTCAGACTGACTAAAAACATCATTTCAATGGTACCAGTAAAATAGTTATATTAAGAAATTATAAAGAAAACCTATGTAGTTTAAAATTATGAAAATAATATTTAAATTATTGCAAGAGTCATTTAGAATTAAATACTTGATACATTTAATTAAAAATCAATAAATTGTTTTTATTTATTTATTTAATTGTTTTAATATTTTCCTTGTCTTTATACATATTTTTTTATATGAAATCTTTATATTTAATTTAAGAAACGTTTTCTCTATTAGCTCTAAACGATCCTTTAGTCATAACACATATTTTTAATAGTTCTATTCTTAAAAAACAATCGGATAATGAAAAGTCACAATTGTGGACACAGATGCGTATGTATGTTTTGTTGAGTCAAACCTATTTGCTGAAGAATGCAAAATTTCAAGTAAACTTAAGAAGTAGAGATGTATGTTTATGCTCTCTATTTAACCAAGTACCCTTGTCAAATTTTAACCAACCCACCCAGACCAGGTTCCAAGTGATAAGACTTGAGAATGTTTATATATTTACGCAGTGACACTGGTTCAAACCTGGTCTGGACGTGTTGGATAAAATTTGTTTCATTGTTCTTATGTTGATGAAATCATTGCTATTTGCAAAAATATTTTGTTTTAACACTTCACAAAATCAAATATTTTAAGACTGCTATTAATTTAATTATAATGCCGAATACTTCAATGCTGCCGTTACATGTTAATTCTAATTTTTCCAAAACCTTGCTAGCATTTGATTAATACAATAATAGTTAGGCATTTCATTAAACGATTAATAATTTTTCAGTGTACAAGGTTTTAATGAATTTCAATACAATATGGGACGTTTCAAATCTTATTGACACTCTATTGAATAGTTAGATGCCAAGAACTACCCTGATATCAGCCAATAAACAATAATTATATTTCTGAAATCAAATATCTTAGCTAAACTTTCTTGTTATGCGAAGGTAAATATTACAACCAATAGGGAAATTATTTCATGTTGATTACCAGTTTTACTAGTTAAAATGAAATTGAGAAACTAATTTGTAACAATATTTACAGATAGTTGGGGAAGAAATAACTTTAACACCTTCATATAAAATATTTTATAAATCACAACATTCCATTGAGTACAAAAAAAAATTAAAAATACAGTTATATAAAATTTTAAGTTATATAAATATTTATTTAAATAAAAAAACAAGTTTTGTACTAATATAATGTCTTAAATATGTAGTACTGGCCATAAATTAAAAGGCTTATTTTAAAATAAGGACTGATGTAGAACCTTATATAACTTGTTTGATTTTAATCACAAACATGATATAGAACCTTGTATAACTTGTTTGATTTAATCACAAGCAGACTAGATTTTAACTTTTTTCATTAATGTTATAACTTTTACCATCAATTTATTCAAAAGGGGTCAAAGAAATATATATTAAAAGTACCAAAATTAGTTGATTTAGAAATATGAGAAGTAAATATAGAAGACAGTCTAGTCTGGGTGATAGTCAAGAAAAATAAACCTAGATCACCCTCTTCTAGGTTAAAACAAATCAAATAGTCATATACATAAATTGATAATTTTAAAGCCAGAACTTAAAGAAATAAATCAATAATCTCACAATTTCATTCATAGATCTAACTTGGGTGACCATCAAACCAATTTAGTAATTACAAATTAAGAAATCCATTGTCTAATCATCATTGAGCAGAATTTAATATTATTACTAACTGGATAGGGTATACTTTCAAAATTAGGATAAATTATTCTAAATAAAATAATACAGAAGTTTAACAAAATTTTATATATATGAAAAATAACACACTAGTTTAAGTAACAAAAGAGATTGTATTGCAATAAAAGTTCTATCTTGAGTTTGCTAAATTGATTTTGCATGTTCTATAATAAGTAGACAATAGCTATATTAAGTTATAAAAAATATAACTAATCAAAAAGGATACTAAAAAAGAAATTTTCCAGATATTCACCAAATATTTAATAAAATATAAAAATATTTTGATTTATGTTCTTCACTTCAATTAAAGCAACTTTATAATATTTAATAAACCAGAGATAATTAAACGTACTACAAAACTTATAGTAGACGTTCAATCTTTATGAAAATACTTAATGATAAATATATATATTACCATTATGTTCACTCATCACTATTATATTGAAACTTTTATTAATCACATTAAACTGATGGAAAAGATTCCGGAAAATGCTTTTTTCTAGCAGTACAAAAGATGGTTTTACATTGTTCTATATATCAACCATAATTTTTTTTTTAATAAACTATTGATTTACATAATTTAATATATTAAACAAAATAATATACTTTTTTATTAGACATTAAAAGTATTTTATGAACACTTATTATTTTAAATACTACTTCAATACATAGTATTAAAAATATGATTTAGAACATGTCTTCATGGAAGACAGAAAAGTTAGTCAATGAATACAGAAACAAAATTAATATTAAGAAATAATGAACACATATTACCATGTATTATTTAAGTTTATACATGAAGAAAATTTGCACTAAGTGATGTGTATAACTTTATAAAATAATCATATAATAAATAACTTTAAATAAACTTAAACTTTTAATACAAAATATAAATAAAAATTAAAAATAAAATAAAAACAGAATTTATATCATGGTAGTACCTACCATTAAACAATTATAGAGAAAATATCACTCTTTTATATCCTTCAGTTAAATAAAATTTAACTTTAAAGCTAACACTTCTAAAAAAAACAAGATATATTATTCAAAACTACCCAATCAATAACTGATTTCAATTAATTATTTATTTATATAAAAATAATCCAATTTTAGACTTGATTATGAGATCAAAAACCAACTCTACAAACAGTTATTTGTTTTCCTTTCCTTTCAGTCTAACACACCAAAACCATTTTTATATATTTATATATATTATCCTACTTTTTTATCTTTAACGTATTAATTATAAGTTTAACCAATTGTGATAAACCTACAATTAATCATACTGCTTTTTAAACTTTGATTTTTTCCTAGCAAACTTTGCCTTTTCTCTTATATATATGAACAAATTGTCCTGTTCTTTCTGGATAAAAGAAAGCATTAAATATCTGTCCAGATAAGGTATAATTATTATAATGAAGGAAATTAGTTATATTGAGGGAATCATATTTTATAATATGTGTTGGTAAAGTACAAGGCTGTCGAGTAGCAAATTGAGAACGAAGCCATGTTTGAGGATTTTGGTAAAATTGTTCTGCTTCATCGATTGTGGTATCATTACCAATGCTAGGATCACAAGTTAAAAACCTAGCAGAAACTTTAGAATGGAGATGGCTATATAATGGAAAAGAGTGGCAAGGAGCAAGAAATAGAACTTTTGCAGAAGTAGTGTTAACAATATCATTTCGAAGTGATGACATAGTTTCTAAGGGTCCTACATTATGAAATCGACCTAAGAACAATAGAGCACCACTACTTCCAGTAATTAACAAAGCCCCCACTGCATATAGAAGCCATGTTTTGGCATTAACACTCCATCTTCCAAGAGCAGCTGAAGAAACAAACATAGCCATTGGAAGTAATGGTAAAAGGAAACGAAATTCTTTGTGAGGAATAAAACTTAGTACTGTAACAGTCCATATGATGGTTAATATCATCTGAGATTCAACATCATACTTCAAGGACCTAATAAAGTGTGACAGATTAAAAATCTTGAACAATGCTGTAACATATAACGGTATAACTTGCAAACCTACAACTACAGGCAAACCAATGTACCAATACCAAAATAAATTATGACTGCCATAAAATGATCCTATGTTCTCTAAAATGTTGATTTTGAAAAAATTAATAGGGGTAAAAGTCAAACTTCCATAGTAATATGAATCAATTGCAACGTTTAAAGCGCCTACAATAAATGTAACAGGAAGATATCTTGTGATAACAGTATGAAACGGATTTTTAGAATTAAAGATGTTTAGCATAACCAAAGGCAGCCATAAAACTGCAGCAGTTGGTCTAATAAAACACAACAAACTTAGCAGAGAAGTAAAAATTATACTAGTTGATTTAGGTGTCCATGGATAATAATAAAGAGCTATGGTGGTTAAATTCATTTCAAAAGTGTTAATTAAAGTCCTTGTGGAACAGAAAGATAAAAAATAACATGTTAACCATGATAACAGACTCCAGGAAAACTGTCCAGATCTTTTTTCATAGACCCACCTAACAAAATACACATCAGATACTGAAGAAATTATTCCTTGTAAAATCCTGGGAGTGACTATAATCAATTCAGCAGAGTCTAAGCCAACTATCTTCAAAATTTCATATATTCCTTGAATTAGTGATACATAGAAGTAACTTCTGATTCCTCTTTTCCATTCCCAAGTCAGATATCCATTACCAAACACCTTTTTATGGGCGACTTCTAAACTTTGATAATATTCGTCTGGTACAAAATATGACTGCACCCAAAGAAGATCAACACATCTGATAATCAACATCAACAAAAACAAACGGACTGGAAATTCACCATAACGTATCAATGTCTGCAATCTCTTGAAACGCACCATTATTCTCTTCACTGCGGGTAGAGAAACAGTTTGAATGCACGATCTAATCTACTTTAATTGGGACGCTGCAAGAGAGAATTTAGCTACAACGCTCCACGGGGTAAACAAAAATAGCAACAGTAGGGATGGGTCGGATTGTATGTATCAGATACTTTTATCTGATACTAAAAAAGTATCTGATACAACCAGTAGATACAACCAAAAAGTATCTGATACAAAAGTATCTGATGCTCACATGGATACAAAATGGTTGTCCAGACATGCCACATTGATATAAGAGAAATGTTTAGTTATAATTTTAGTTGTGCACAATTTTTTTAGAACTATCTATTCATTTAGTTTAATTTAATTATATATTTATTTGTAGATAAATATATTCACGCTTTTTTTTTTTTTTTATGTAATGTTAATTTCAGATATTTTTATCTGATACTGCTATCGGATATTTTTATCTGATACTAGTATCAGATACTTTTATCTGATATTTGTATCAGATATTTTTATCTGATATTTGTATCGGATATTTTTATCTGATATTTGTATCGGATATTTTTATCTGATATTTGTATCAGATATTTTTATCTGATACCCGCATCGGATACTTTTATCTGATATTTTTATTTGATATCTGTACTAGATACCCAGCGGTATGCATACTGGCGCTTGGGCTTTTTAGTTAATATGTAATAGTTCTAATGACTGTATAGTTATGTCAGGTACTAAGAAAATATTTACACAATTTTTTAAACAAAATATGCTTCATATTTGACAAAAGAATGGAATATATTAAATAAAAATATAACAAATTCATGCAGAGGAAATATTTTCCTAATACAACGTTCTTAAGAATTTTGTAACAATTAAAAAAATTCTTTATAGTTAAGTTTAACATACACACACACACACACACACACACACACATATATATATATATATATATATATATATATATATATATTTTTTTTTTTTTTTTTTTTTTTCTGTTTGTATTACAGACCATGTAGATCTTTTGCCACCTTAACAAGTATGCTCAATCTCTACCTCTCTTGGGCTATTTCTTTCCATTATCTGATATTTGTATCAGATATTTTTATCTGATACTCGCATTGGATACTTTTATCTGATATTTTTATCTGATACCTGGACTAGATACCCAGCGGTATGCATACTGGCACTTGGGCTTTATCTCAATAATTGTATCAGATATTTTAATCCAACTGTAATTGATTATTGATTGGGTTTGATATTTTAATACCTTTTTGATACCTAATAAAACAAACATTAAATATGTACCTATATATATTTTATTCCTTTATTATTAAATTTGTCCTTGTAATAAATATTTTACACCATTTTTAAATATAATAGTTCTAATGAATTTATAGTTATGTCAGGTACTATGAAGATATTCACTATACGATAGCTAAGTTTAACATACTCACACACACATATATTTCTTTTATTTTCACTGATCAATCTACATCTTGGGATTTAGATTATATAGGACTTGTATAATGTTTACAATACTATTATTGTATTCTTTGAACATATTAAATTACATATGTAAATCATTTAATATGTAATATGTAAATATTTATCCACTCTTTTATTATTATTTTTTTCATTAATACAATATTATGACAACAAAAGTAATTTGTTGTTCATTTCAAATTTCAGTTAAAATTCCATAGTTCATTGTTGTTTAGTAACTATCTTGCTGTATTGGGACCTCATTGCTCATATTATGTCTTTAATATATCAGTATAGTTATGTAAATCCTTCTGTTATTACTAATATTTTAGTTTTTTTTATTGTAATATGCATTTTGGCCAGATGTTATGTTAATTTTTATGTACAATATTGTTATTCTCAAGGGACTTTGTCCCAGAATAAAGGTGATTATTCTATTCTATTCTATTCTATATATATATATTTATTTTTTCTGTTTGTATTACAGACCATGTAGATCTTTTGCCACCTTAACAAGTATGCTCAATCTCTGCCTGTCTTGGGCTATATTTTGCCATTTATCTGCAGGCAGCTCTATTGTATCTTTGTTGATTCTATCTATCCATCTGCTTTTTGGCCTTCGACGTGGTCTTTTGCCTACTATAATAAAAATAGCCCAAGACAGGTAGAGATTGAGCATACTGGTTAAGGTGGCAAAAGATCTACATCATCTGTAATGCAAACAGAAAAAATAAATATATATATATATAGAATAGAATAGAATAGAAGAATCACCTTTATTCTGGGACAAAGTCCCTTGAGAATAACAATATTGTACATAAAAATTAACATAACATCTGGCCAAAATGCATATTACAATAAAAAAAAACTAAAAAATAAGTAATAACAGAAGGATTTGCATAACTATACTGATATATTAAAGACATAATATGAGCAATAAGGTTCCAATACAGCAAGATAGTTATTAAAAACAATAAACTATGGAATTTTAACTGAAATTTGAAATGAACGACAAATTACTTTTGTTGTCATACCATTGTATTAATGAAAAAAAAAATAATAAAAGAGTGGATTAATATTTACTTTAAATGATTTACATATGTAATTTAATATGTTCAAAGAATACAATAATAGTATTGTAAACATTATACAAGTCCTATATAATCTAAATCCCAAGATGTAGATTGATCAGTGAAAATAAAGAATATATATGTGTGTGTGTGAGTATGTTAAACGTAGCTATTAAGAATTTTTTCAATTGTTACAAAATTCTTAAGAACGTTGTATTAGGAAAATTTTTTCTCTGCATGAATTTGTTATATTTTATTTAATATATTCCATTCTTTTGTCTAATATGAATCACATTTTGTTTTAAAAACTGTGTGAATATCTTCATAGTACCTGACATAACTATAAAGTCATTAGAACTATTATATATTAACTAATAAGTCCAAGACTAGACTAGATACCAAGCGCCAGCATGCATACCGCTGGGTATCTAGTCCAGGTATCAGATAAAAATATCAGATAAAAGTATCCGATGCGGGTATCAGATAAAAATATCTGATACAAATATCAGATAAAAATATCTGATACAAATATCAGATAAAAATATCCGATACAAATATCAGATAAAAATATCTGATACAAATATCAGATAAAAGTATCTGATGCCAGTATCAGATAAAAATATCTGATGCTAGTATCAGATAAAAAGTAGTAGGAAGGTCATGACCAACTACTGACCCATTTGTATCAGATACAAAAGTATCAGATAAAAGTATCAGATACAAAAAAGTACCCGTATCAGTTGTATCTAGATACAAAAATTTTAGTATCAACCCATCCCTAAGCAACAGCCAACGCCGATCAGTTGAATGGTTTCGGTTATTGAAAAATGGACCTGAGCATAATTAATTAAGCAAATATATGCGGCCAAATGCTTATATTTATTAATGGCATTACGAAGAACTTTTAACGTCATTAAAATTACAGGGAATGAAATACAATTAGTTTTAACATAATTTAATTGCTGACTTTAAACAAAACAGCTGGTTTAATCTATAAACTGAAACAAAAATGGTCGTAAATAAATTTTCTTAATTCTTTAAAAATAAAAAAATTATGATTTAAGTATTTAGGAAGCGAGAACTATAGATAGTCGTCATTTAGCAGCTTGTAGTTCAAACTTAAGTAATTAAAAAAACTAATGCCGATGTCACTAATCGAAATCGTAATGAGAAGATAACTTTTGAAAAAAAATATAAGTTAGTAACTTAAGTTTTTTTAACATAAATTAGGTAGTCATTGGCGTAATCTTATCTTAAGTTCTTTTAGGAAGGTTACAGGCATTAGGTGGTCTCGTGCTGTGGCCTGTTTTTGGGATTTAAGGACAGAACTTTATTTTAAAAGTTAATTAAGAGAAACAAAATGTCCTGGCTTTTGGGAAGAAGAAGAAATGAATCAAATACGGCTGGAGGTTCACCTCCTGACGGGGGAAATCCACCTAGTGGAGCCGGTGGTGGTGGAGATGGAGATGACCGCTCTACTAATTCACCAGACTTTAAAAAAGCTATGGAAGCTTATAGATTTGACTCTTCTGCTTTGGAAAGAGCAGCGCAGGCAGCTCGAGAACTGGAGCAATCCCGTAAGTCTTATTGATTTATCCTTCAGTTTGCATGTATTAGAAAATGTATGAAATTTAGTTCATGTTTCTTTTTCTTAGGTCATTCCAAAGAAGCCTTAGAGCTTTCTAAGATGCAAGAGATGACTAAGCAGCAGGAGCTGATAATGAAAACAAAGGAATTTGAAGCTGCAATTGAAACAGCCAAAGTCGATCAGAAACGTGTGGATGGAGAAGAACGCAGAAAAACAGTTCAAGAAGAAACAAAGCAACATCAATCAAGAGCTCAGTACCAAGATCAACTAGCTCGGAAAAGGTAATTTATTGTTATTCAAATTTTAATCAATTATATTTTCAATTAATTTATGTTGAACTAGGTAAAATATTCATCATATAGACATATTTAATTTTCTGCTTGGAAAATTTCTTATTGTCTATTGGTTCTATCAGTAAAGGAACATACAAATTATCTGGAATTGCAAGCATACTCTGTTTCTGTGATGGCAATCCTAGTTTTCTGAGGTGCTAAATATTAAAGACTTTAACATTCTTTTTTTTTATTGCTATCAATTTGTTTTACTTGGACATTTTACATTATACCTTTCCGTTATCTCCACATCCATGTCTTGGCATTCTTTATATTAATGTTTGAATGTTTTCCCAATATATTTAATTACTATGCACTTCATTGCCAAACATTGCGTTGAATATATGTCCTATGCAATGCAATTTTTGGCCATAAATGCATGCTGCAGCTAATCACATCTATCTTTGTGGAAAGATTCAAACTGTGGAATTGTAGTACATCCTTTCATAATGTACAACCCAGAAAACAGCATTATTAAGCTCTTTCCTCCCTTATTTTTAAATAGTTCTTTCTACAATCTAATAAACCTATTTAATAACGTGAAATTGGAGAATTATGCTTTAGTAGTTTTGCCAGTGTTGATAACCTACGCAAATCCACAACATATAACCCTTCCTAATTATATTTCTTGAGAGTAATTCTGTATTTATTATATCATGGATGGTAAATATTCAGGACACAGTCATAAAGTTTTTATTAGTGCCGATGTTTCAACCCAAACATGTGGGTCATCATCAGTGCGTGTTTGAGCACTGAAGATATTTAAGTTCTGCTAAGGTACCCAGTACTTGAATACCTTCAGTGCTCGAACCACGCCCTGATGATGACCCTCATGTTTGGGTTGAAACATCGGCACTGATGAAAACTTGATAATGACTGCGTTCTGAATATTTATCACCCATGGCATGTAGAACAGTTGACGAACTTCCTTCAATATTTATTATAGTTTGTTAGTATCATTAGCATTTCTAATTCCAATTTCCATTTCTATTTCATTTATTGAATTGTATGATATTTTGCTATTTGATAAGTTTCTCTCATGCTTGGTTATTTCTTATATTGATAACTACAAAGCAGGAGTCTCCAAACTTTTTGACCTACAGTCGATATTGACTGCTCCTCCAAGTCTCGCGAGATGGTTATGAAAATATCAAGACATTGATACTTATAAATGAGGAAATTGTTTCTATATTTCCCTCTCTTACAGCTATTTCCATGATCTGGAAAAGTCAGGGAATTTCTTAAAAAGGTTCTGGTAATATTCTGTAAATATAAATCTTAAATATGTATGTACAATAAATATAAGTATGAATCATTGTCAATGAACTGGACTTGGTTGTTAGAACAATAGCGACCAATTCTGGATGATATGTAACTAACTAAAACAATGTCTTGTGTAAAACCTTATTAAAATCAGCTCTTACAAATTATTGGTCCTGGCAAGATTGATCAAAGAATTCGAAAAGACAGTAATACAATTTTGTCTAATAAATGCAGAATATAGTCATGTAAACAAAGTCTTCAAAGAATAATGTAGCGTTATATGGATCAGTGCAAATCAACCACCCCAGTTTTCAGTTAGTAAAGAATTTCAATACCTGATCATGACAGACCAATACAAAATGCCTATCGAAATAAAAGCTAGAATTACAGTAGACAGTAAGTGTTATTCACTGGCAAAAACACTAAAATTTAAGGAATTATGCATTAAAAAGTGTCAGTGTATCGTCCAGTCTTTACCTGTGGATGTGAAATATGGAATTGATCAAGTAAAGTCAGGAATTGCTTAAAATTTGGGGGGTTTATGTTCCCAGAGCAAGAAGAAAAGTGACGAGCTATTAGAGCTATATAATGATGAAAATATTGTGGTTACTATTAAAAGGTTTCACTATAAACGGCTAGGATACTTGCAGGATAGAATAGAGGAGCAGAGGTTGCCAATAAATAACCCCAGGAATGTGTTAGACTGTAGTTTTTTACTTGGCTCATTCAAAAGAGATAAGCAAATCTCAACTTATCCCTTTCAGTTGAGATTGGGTCCTTACCGAGGGGATCATTTGCCTCTGTCTACTTTCTGAAACACTATGAGGTTTGGAATTGCATCTAAAATTTGATCGATGTAATCCTGACCTAATTGAGTTGTACACTTGTGAAGTAGTACAGTGAGAAGTATTAATGAAATGCTTATGGAAGCTACTCAAAAATTGGTAGGGTCTTTTTGTTAATTGAAGTTAAAACATTTTAACTATTGTAAACATCATTTATAATTAATATTCTTGTAAATATATATATATTATTAAATTGAAATAATAATTTGTTGATTTCTAAGGTATGAAGATCAGCTTCTTCAGCAAACTAGAATGAATGAAGAAAATTTGAGAAAGCAGGAAGAATCAGTACAAAAGCAGGAAGCAATGAGAAGAGGTAAGACTGTAGATGTTTCTTTATGGGTGCAAAATGTGGCCACTTACATTAAGAAATGAGCAATATCTTTTTTTGAAAATAAAATATTGCAGAAATTAATTAGAGATGTAAAATTTCTAAGCTTGGCAACACGCAAGTCCCTTAAATGTTAATAAATACTGATGTCTTTGGTGGATGAAAAGATTTTTTTTTTTTTTTTGTGTCCTCGCCTTTAAGGCTATACAGGGTTTTCCCGGGCCTGTGGGCGATAGGAGGGAGTGTGGGCGGGGATTTCAAAGACTCCCCCGGCACCGGGATGCGAACTCGGAACTATTTTTCATCTTTGTCTCATATGTCAGGTTGCCAGGCAACGGCGGTGCTGTTAACCTCGTTCGGCCACCCTGCCCACTGGATGAAAGGATTATGTTAAGGGGCTGATCTAGCTTGGTCAGCAATTGGAAGTATGTAGAACGAGATTACTAGATGGGATCATCAAACATTTGGGCTCCCTAAGCCGTTTATTATTATCACCAACAATGAAACTTTTATTTTGCCAATATGTATACAAATAAATATTTTGTTTGATTATATAACTCGTATTAATTTTAACAGCTACCATTGAACGAGAAATGGAATTGAGGTCACAAGTGGATAAGAATCGTCTTGAAGCTGAGATGCTTGCCAAAGCAAAGGCTGACCGTGAAAATCAAGACTTGTATTTGGAGAGACTTCGAGTGAAGGCTGCTGAAAATAGGATCACTGTGCTAGAATCTATAAGGTTAGTGATCTCATGAAATAAAATAAAATGTTGTCTCTCTGTGTGTATGTGTGTGTGTGTGCGATAACAAGTGGTCTGGATCATTTCCACTTTAAAAGTTGATGTTGATTACACTAGTTATATTAAATTATTATTATTTGCTATTTGTTGGCAGGACAGCCGGAACAGTGATTGGTACTGGAGTTACTACTCTGCTGACTGACTGGGATAAGACCCTAACTGCTGTTGGGGGTTTGTCCCTCCTCGCTCTCGGTGTCTATTCTGCAAGGACCGCTACTTCTATGACTGGCAGGTTCATTGAGGCCAGGTTAGGTGAGGTCATTCTTTAAGTGTATTGCAATATTTATTTCATTCATTTAATAATTTTAGAAATCTTTTGAACTGTAGAGGGCTTTTGTCATTAAGTGTCATGTATTGAGGCAGTGGTGGCCAAAATTGTTAACGTGTCACCTTAAAAACCTTGAGTTAAGCTACTCTGGTTTTAATCAAGCCTGGGAGCTTGAAATTTATTTTATGGCCTCCTCAACTGTTACCTTTAGGATGAACCCCTCCTTTTGCACAATTTCTGAATAAAAATACTATATGAATACAAATACATATATGAATAGCAGCAGTAGATGTTCATGTGAACTGGCTGGAAATAATAATATAATCAAAACTTTAAAAAAGTACTTGTGAACAATCTGGTCGGGACGAAAACTCTCTTCTTATCTTATGTCACATAACCTTACTTCTTATATCATGTAAGCTGTTGTTATTATTCTATTACGTGTGAGTTATTCCATTGTTTATTGTTGAAATGGATATTATTACACTGGGGGAATTGCCTTTTTCAGAAGAAGAAGCTATCAAATATTTTCAAAAGGCCGGGATAATTCCGAAGTTAAAATTCTGTGAAGAAGTACATGAAATGAAGTTTGACAGTAAGACGAAATAGAGATGGTTTCGTAGCAATTATTACAAAAATGTATTTATAAGAACAGGAACGTGGTTAGAGGGGTCGAAGATTACCTTTTCAACGGCTTTAAAATTTATTTATGGGTAGTCTCATAATTTAACAACAATAGAGTGGGGCAAAGAGCAGCTGAAACTATCGAAGAAAAATGTGATAATGTGGAACAAATTTTTAAGAGAGGTTTATGCCTATAACATGTTATACAGGTCAAATAAAAATATTAGAGGGCCTGGCAAAGTCGTTGAAGTAGACGAGTCTTTTTTCTAAAAGAAAAATCATGTAGGGAGAGTTCTCCCCGAACAGTAGATGTTTGGCAGAGTTTTTCGAGAAACAGACAAGTGTTTCAATCTAAAAGTAAAGGACAGAAAGGCAAGATCTTTATTAGAATGTATTTAAAATAATATATAATGATGTAGAGATGGTTGACCATGATATGATATGAGGAGTTGGTCGGGGGGTGCCATCAAATAAATACTAAATTTAAAAAATAGTATTTTTAATTATTACGCTGACATTGCGACCCACCTTGCAGATCTTCATCAGGAGTGTGGCATGTGGCATTGCAGGAGGCAGTTGAACTGCCAGTCTATCAACTGCCACATGCCACACCCTGATGAAAACCTGCAAGGTGGGTCGAAACGTCAGCATAAAATTAATTTTAATTAAAAATACTATTTTTTAAAATTTAGTATTTATTTTACCTCACCTCATGACCAACTCCTCACAAAAAAATATAGATGAGAGAAGCACCATTTATTCCGACTGTTAAAAAGGATACAACACCCAATAACTTATATATATATTTCATATATATGTTGTAAAATAAAAGTATTTTGTTATTATTACATTTGTTTTTGTCTATTTCATTATCCATAAATATGACATTTGTTTTTGTCTATTTAAATTGCCATAAATATGACATTTGTATTTGTCTATTTAAATTTCCATAAATATGAATACGAAGATAGGGATTATCAGTGCCTTATCAGATTTATCAGTGTTGAGGTTATAAACATCGGCAGATAGCAGTCCATCCCGACCGGATTGTTCACAAATACCAAAATGTTGTATGGTTAGGAATTATAGAGTTGTTCTTTTGAAAATATGATTCTGTGTTTCAGGTAAGCCTTCCTTGGTTAGGGACACTTCTCGATTTTCAGTGCTAGAAACTTTAAAACATCCTATACTTACTGTGAAAAAGTTAAAAAAGAAACCAGCTGATGCTCTTGCAGGAGTTGTCCTTCAACCAAAACTTGAAGAAAGACTAAGGTAATTATTATATATTTCTCATGTTATGATTCAAGTTGCAGTTATATTATATCAATGACAACTCTTTATCCAGGGATGTTGCAATCGCTACCAAGAATACTAAGCAGAATCGAGGAATGTTCCGTAATATTCTTATGTATGGCCCTCCAGGCACAGGGAAAACAATGTTTGCCAAGGTTAGTATACTTATATATAAATTCTATTATTAAGTTCTTAATGAATTTAAAATATTCTCAATTCAGTTCTAAAGCATCTCAATTCTCTGAGAACCTTGTGTTATATGTACAAAATTAAATTAATTATTCAAATACTTTTTACTAAGATTATTTATACTTTATACTGTTTTTACTAAGGTCATCAAAGTATAAAATAACTATTTTTTTAAATTTACAATGTTAAAATAAATTTAAATAATAATCAAAGTTATCAATAAAATTAAATATATCTAACATTGAAAGTTAATACTAATGTACTCAAAAATCACTAATTGTTATAACTTAATAAAAAGATAACACTGCATAATTTCTTTAAAAAAAGCTCAACATAATGAAAATATTGTGGTGTAAATCATTGCTAAGTTAAATCATACATTGCAACAAACAGAATGAAATACATGTCAAACCCGTTTAAACTTGAATGATAATAAATATATATTGCCGCAGATAATATCTTTTTATTTCCCAAATGTATCTTAGAGTACTATACTAACAAACAAAGACCTCTCAGTATTTTTATTTAATTTTTTTTTAGTCCTTTTCTCAGAATGACAAATAGTGTTATAAATTACTCCCAATCATAGATGTAGAGAAAAAATGTCAAAAGATCCATCCTGAAGATGATGTGAAGCTTCTTGAAGTGTTTATTCTACTTTCATTAAATGAGCAATTAGTATTTTAAAAAATTAAGATTTTCACAAATTAATTATAAATCGAATAATAATAATAATAATAATTTGTCACGTAGTTAAGCTCTTTGAAAATAACAAACAAACTCATATGATTACTCTAAAAGTGTTATTACTGTAATATTACATAAATATCAAGTTGACTTTATTCAATATAATTTTATAATGTACTCTCTTATTTTTGCTTTAGGCAATTTTTAGTAATGATGTTTTTTCTTCAGAAATTAGCTCTTCACTCTGGCCTGGACTACGCTATATTAACAGGAGGTGATGTTTCACCTTTAGGAAGGGACGCTGTCACCGCTGTTCACAAAGTATTTGACTGGGCTGAAACTTCTCGAAAAGGCCTCCTTCTATTTATAGGTGAAAAGAAAGTATTATTTTATTCATAGAAATGGAATTGATAGTGTCGGTATTCTCATAAATTTTGTTTTGATTTTTTGCTTGGAATTAAGTCTGGATTTTATGATTGGATATTAATTTAAACTATGAATTATAAAAATTAAAACAGCTTCAAATAGAGTCTAAAAATCATAATTATTAAGAATGAGATGATTAACCTATTGTTATTTATCTAGACTTCGATTTGGTAAAGATGCCAAGTGGTATATTTTTGGTTCTTTCTGACATTTTTTCCATCAACAGAATGCAAGTTATTCAGTGTCCATTAAGACATTGTTATTAAGTGCCTTCCCCATACGTATGGGTGTACTTTTTGGATGGGTTACAGAGATGGGAGCATCACTGGGAGAAGTGTGTAGAGTTACAAGGAGACAATGTTAAAAAATAAAATTTTAGAAAAATGTCTTGTATTTTTGTTAGGTCGGAAACTTTTCAGACCACCCTCGTATATTTGATGATTTAATATATCCACATGTCTTTTTTACCTGTAAAAAGATTAAACTTTTTCATATCGTACTGATTTGTTTATTTACAGATGAAGCTGATGCTTTCCTTAGAAAAAGATCATCTGAAACAATTTCAGAAGATCTGAGAGCAACACTCAATGCATTTCTTTATCGGACTGGTGAACAAAGTAACAAGTGAGAGAATTTTCATCACCCATTTTTTTTTTAATTATAGATAAATGTCTTTGTACAGGAGTGATAAGAACAAACTTTATCTCTTTCACCTTTATCTGTCTTATTTATCAATGAAACTGTGCAACTCTGATATTTATCTGTGGTAAACCTAAAAAGGCTGTGTCATTTTATACTAATTGCAATTCATATAAAATGACGAAATGTAAATAACAATAAGAATAACATCTAATTGTCTGAGAATTAATTTCATCCTTTTTCATAACTTATTTTGAAGTATTCACACAAATTAGTTGGTATGATGAAGGAGATCGGATTTAGGTGATAATAAATTTATTATCATTCATCCTTTTTCATCTTATTTTGAAGTATGAACACCAACTAGTTGGTATGATGAAGGAGATCGCATTTAGGTTAGGCAGTGATAGTAAATTTATTTATATTATACCATAGATATTTTTATTTGTTAAAAGTTATATATGAAAACTTTTAATTTTATATTATAATCTGCATTATGTTGTAATATTAATTAATTACCAGAAATAGAATTTATGAATGCCACACAGAAACTTATGAATGCAGCACATACACTCTCAGAGACTGCAAGTTGCCCATTATTTTGCTCCACATTTGTATATTGGTGAATGCATGAATGAAAATAATTATACGCAATATATTCTGAGAAGTAATTAATTTTTTTTTTCATCGTGAATTACATGGGTTTATTATTGAAAACAAACCAAACTGTTCATATAGATTGTTTTAGGTTGTATTTTTGCTAATAATGGTCCAATTTCGATAACTTTCTTTTTCGTTTTGTAGGAGATTTAAAAAACTTTCAAATTATGGTGAGTATTTTCCCACTATAAATTGTATACTTTTTCAGTTATGCTCAGAGGAAGGTTTATTTGCTTCATTTTTTTTTCTTTTTTTTATCTTTTCGGAGGATATGGATAAAAAAATATTCGGATATTTTTCTACACTAAAGGAAAATATGATCTTCAAAACGATGGCTCAACCCTGGGATTTGGAAAAGTATTGACAAAGATATTGTGTACCTACAAAACAAATACTTTTGAGAAATAATATATAAAGATTACAATTAAGTTACTGAGTAATAGAATTCTCCAAGTACATCATTAGGCACTTTTATTGGTTTATTTTATTATTTTACTAGGAGTTGCCTATTGCCTGAAAATTTTTCCTTTGAAAAAAATTAGAAACTAAGTAAACAAATATTTAATCTTTTAGCTCTATATCAATTTCAAGAGTTCTGACATTGATTGATCAAATGAAGTTATATGATGACAATTAAAAAGGAAGCCTTCCTGGGAAAGATAATTTATCTGTTCATATCAGCACTTGACTGTTTCAAACATCAAGGGTTTGATGTTGATTGATAAAATGAGAATAAAACTATAATGCAGATTATTGCGCAATGGGTTTTACTTTTTAATTTAAACTTTGGTACAATGCTCTTTATTTTTTTTCTCTACCTTCATAAATTTCTGAGAGAAATGAATAAATAATGAAACCTCTAATCGGATGGTATTTTCAAAGTGCACGGGTCATTCATTATAGGATGATCTGTAACTTTTGAGATGGTAAAATGGTGGGGAAAAAGGGAAGTGGAAACAGGCATTGGAACAGAGCTACAGACCTCCGGAGAGTGGTTGGTTGAATAAGGAAAAATCAAGTCAGAAGTGAGAAAATACCTGAGTGGAGACCTTGAAGGACACTGTCGAGAAAAGGCTACTAAAGTGATTCCATCATCTGTTGCCAAGTGAAATGGAGACTAAGGTCCATCTAAATTTTTTGAAACCAGTTCCAAGAGATTTTCCTCAAGGAAGACATAGCCTGCGATGGACAAACGACCCCTCCAGGATTGGCCAGGTAAAGGGTACGAGTATAAACTTCATGAAAGCACTAATGTCTCCTAGTCTGGCTGGTTAGGACTGAGACACCTCCACGCTGTCTGAAAACATGTTTTTACTTCATTCTGTTTTAATGTTCAGTGCGATTTAAAAAATTCATTTTTCCCTGAGTTTATCTTAAATTAATTTTTAGTTATATATTATTTACTTTTTATCTTGAATTAGTTACTTATTTTATTTTAACTTCATTGAGAATTTTTTGAATTTTTGCAGATTTATGTTGGTTCTTGCTTCAAACACTCCGGAGCAATTTGATTGGGCTGTCAATGATCGATTGGACGAAATGGTTGAGTTCACTCTCCCTGGTCTTCAAGAAAGAGAACGTCTTTTAAGGCTATATTTTGAGAAATTTGTACTAGAACCAGCCGCTTCCACCTCAGTCAAGTAAGTCTGAGCTCATTTTAATTTATTCTGCTTCCTATTAAGATTAATTTAACACTTGTTCAATGATCTTAATAAAAACACAAAATAGCCAATGCTTACACTAATTATACTTTCATTCTTCCTTAGAGATTATTCATTTATTATTATTAAATTTATTCATTAATTGTAATTACAAGAAATTGAGCTTCACTTCACTCGATCAGACTGGTACTGACAGTTTTGTTGTTTTTTTTTTAATTTATATTTGCTAATTATATCCATTTTTTTTATTGCAGAAGGTTAAAGGTAGAGCCTTTTGACTTTGGGGAGTTTTGCTCAGAAATGGCTCAACTAACAGAGGGAATGTCCGGAAGAGAAATAGCAAAACTAGGTGTGGCTTGGCAAGGTGCTGCCTACGCCTCAGAGGATGGTGTCCTCACTAGGCAGATGGCTATGGACAGGGTTAATTCAGCTCTACTGCAGCATCGGCAAAAGGTATCAGTATTTATGCCTCATTCATTATATTGTTTATAGAATATAAAAACTGTTTTACATATAGTAAGTTACTTTTTCTATTATCACAAATAAAGAAGCAAAATAGATGACTATGGCTTGTTAAATAATGTTCGATTTTAACTATTCTTTGTGATGGGGACACTGAATAAGCCCAATATTTGGTTTAAAATTTGATGTCTTTGTAAAATATTATGTTCTTACTTAGCTAATTATCAAGAAATTTTTAAAAGGAAAAGAGCTGTCGATTATAATTTAATGCGATTCATCTAAAATTAACATTTGTATTTATTTCAAATGTGGACTAGAATTCACAAATCTTCTAGAATTTAATTCTTCCATTTTTTTTTAATCTTGACTTCTCATTAAATTTCTTAACATACTTTCCACAAATCGCAAATCAACATTATATTTCAAAGCTTATTTTTTACTGTAGACTTAATTAGTTACTTAGTAAGTAACTGGTATAACAACCAGCTCAATGAATGATGTTAATTATAAATTTTAAAACAGTTTATATTTTATTTCTCCAGTAACGCAAGTGATAATAACTATGCATTCTTTATCTACCACCTCCAAAGTACTACTGTAGCATTATTATTTTTTTATATTTGATCAGTTTTGTTTCGTTCTCTTTTTTAATTGTGTAATATTTGTTTAGGTCGAATGGCAGTCTGAACAAGAAAGAAGAGAATCTAAAAGTATTACCTATTCAACGAAAGAATCTAGTTATTCACAAGTATGTTGACCATCTTACCATTTATACAAGTTTTATTGTAACGAAATTACTAACAGCTCTAACTTATGACTTTTGTGTTTGTTCTATTATGCAACATTTCTAAAAATTCTGTGGCTATGTGGGATTCCAAAAAAACTTATCAGAATTGTAAATAATCTATTGCTAAAGATCACACCATTTTTTAGTCAATTTCCAATATCATTAGGTTTGTCACTTTTCATTAGTTGAATTAAGTTTTTTTCTTTCCAGTTTAAAGGGCTTCTTGTTCATGGCATATTTCTTTCGAAAACCTTGAACTTAATGTAATTATTATATCTGAACACTTTTTTTGGTTATTATATCTGTTTCCCTTTAATACTCCTTCAATTGGAATGTATTTCGTCATTAATATTTTGCATTACTTTGTTTAATTTATCGATTGTTACTTCTTAATGTATGTTATTAAATATAACTTTTATTTTCCTTTTTCAAAACTATCAGATTAATCCATTAACTACTTTCTCCTGGCTTTACTAACTTAAAAACACTAACAATTACTAACAGGTGAAACCAGTTGTTCCTGCTATAAACCCACCAGCTCAGCCCATAAGCCCACCATTACCTGCCAAAAGAATATATGGTACTCATAAACCAGGTAAAATATACCATAATTCATAACCACGTTTAAATTTTTTTTTTATAATTTTGACATTGATAACATTTTAACTTCAGTTAGTTCATAAATTCCTACTCTATTTCTTAAATGTTTCACCTTTCAATAGAATATATTATCAATCAACACAATTGAAATTAAGAAAAATTGTTTTACTGTATGTACTATTTTTAATGCAATAAAACTTTATCATAACACTCTACTAACTCCTAGAGCTAGTTATAGCTAGAAAATTATAAAAAATAGCATTTGAATATTATTTTTGCTGTTCCTGGTTTAAAGTAATACTTTTTTTTTTTGTTTATGAAAGTATTAAGTATTTTTAATAATTTCATAAGTTATGCATATAAAAAACCTCACCCTTTTTTGTAAAATAGTATTCTATATTGAAAACTTATGTTTTTAAACACAAAATCTTTTTAAATTTAGATTAGATTTTTTAAACTTATTAATTGAATTATTTTTTTAAATAGAAAACTGCGAAACCTATTAATATTTGCTACATTTTCTCAAAAGGGAAAGCAGAGAAACTGAGGCAAGAATTAGATCTTTATCTGTCAAACTTTTGAATAAATAAAATTTTTATGAACTCCTAATGTATTATACCTTGTAGGAAAACTACAGTTTGTACTAAATGAATAACCCTAAGAATTTAGTTGTTTATCATTAATATTATCCTTAATATTTTCCTTGCGTGGGCTCATTCCTGCATATAGGGAGCGTCCCATGGGTGGCGGATGTGGGGATGGTCGGTGGAAATTACTTGGAAGTTCCTAAGTCCGATGGACTCGCTGACCAACAATGAGAGGGGCCCTCCAGACTTGTTGGAGGTAGGGGCCCACCAGACTTGCTGGAGGGTGTGACGTAGGATTGAACGCCCTACTCATATATCTTTAGTTCACCATACACCACAAATAGTCATGGATCTCCCTAAGGTAAAACGCTCATTATCCAGAGGTAAACTAGTCCCCCGTTTGGGTCTCTGGGTGGGGCCTGCTTTAGAGGATTCATGGCGCAAGTTGAAAAATAAGGATTTGAATATTGGTACGTGGAACATAAGGAGTTTAAACAGAGCAGCGGGGTTGAAATCGGTCATGAATGAGGTTAATGGGTACAATTTGGATATCGTGGCTCTGCAAGAGGTTCGCTGGCCAGGGGAGAGCTCGATGAGGGAAGGAAAGTACACTATTTGGTGCAGAGGAAGCGGGAATCATTGTTTAGGTACAGGGTTTCTAATTAAGAATAGATTGCTATCAGCTTTGAGGGACGTACAATTCTTTAGTGATAGAATTTCGGTAGCTATATTTCAAGGGCGTTGGTTTAAAATCGCATTAATAAATATACTTTGTCCGACCGAAGACAGTGACGATGAAGTTAAATGTGAATTTTACGATAAACTCGAATGGGTTTATGATAAACTACCGCAAAACTCCATGAAAATAATTGTAGGTGACGCGAATGCAAAGGTGGGAAGGGAAGAAGTTTATGTTCCGACGATTGGTAAAGAAAGTTTGCACGAATATAGTAATGATAATGGGACCCACCCGTCTGATAAACTTTGCCATCACGCAAACACGAAATCAAATCGATCATGTCTTGATACAACATAGCTGGCAAAGCAGTATAATTAATGTACGGTCTTATCGCAGAGCAGAATGTGGGTCAGATCATGAATTAGTAATTGTAGAAACTTCGACAAAAACTTAATATAAAAAAGAGAAAAGAAAACCTTTTCGATTTTGAGCATTTTAATTTGGAAAAATTAAAAAATCCATCAATTAGAACCCAATTCGAGCTAGATGTTCAGAATAGGTTTGAAGCTGTGGAGCTTTCTGACGAGGACCACGAGGATATTGACAAGTTATGGGTAGAGATCAGGGATAATATTAAAGCGGTCGCTAACTCGTGTCTAGGAAAAAAGGAAAATAAGAATAACAAACCGTGGTTTGATGAAGATTGCTTAAACATGTGCGAAAAAAGAAAAGTCGCTAAATTAAAAGCTCTAAATAATCCTAGCGAAGACTATCTGTAATACTTTCGAACCTCAAACAATGCAATGACAAAATTGTTTAAAAATAAAAAAAGGGAGTATTTTAAAAATAAAATAATTGAAATAGAAACTAATAGAATCGAAAATAACATAAGAGACATGTACAAAGGTATAATTAGATCATGTAAATGTTTAGTGCCCATAATGTCTGGAATTAGAGGTGAAAATAACAATATTCTGACCTGTCCGGTTGACATATTAAATAAGTTTAAGACCCACTTTGACAATATTTTAAATACGGGAAATTATGATCTGTGTCCTCCTTCTAAGTACCAGAGTGCTGAACCGTTAATAGAAGGACCAAGTAAAGAGGAAGTTGAAGTAGCTATCGGAAAATTTAAATCTTATAAAGCAGCGGGAACCGATAATATTCCTACTAAACTAATTAAGGCATATGGGGGAGCTGGAGTTTCTAAAATACATCGGTCGGTTAAAAAGATCTGGGTGAATGAGAAGTTACCTGAAGAATGGAAAGAATCTATTCTTATTCCGATTCACAAAAAGGGTCCGAGGACGGATTGTAATAACTATCGAGGAATTTCACTCCTTCTGGTATGTTATAAAATATTCACTTTAATCTTAACCAGTCGAATCACGGAATACGCCGAGGGAATTATTGGAGACTACCAATGCAGATTTAGACGGAATCGTTCGATTATTGATCAAATATTTTCTTTACGGCAAATATTAGAGAAAAAATTAGAATGGTCGGTAGACCATAGGTATTGTTCACCAGCTGTATATCGATTTCAATAAGGCTTACGATTTTATCGACCGCCAGAAACTGTATAATATTCTAATCGAGGAGGGGATTCCAAAAAAGCTAGTAAATTTAGTCAGGATGTGCTTGACAGAAACACTCAATAAAGTTAGAATCGGTAATAATCTATTCGAAAATTTCGAGGTTTGTTCGGATTTAAAACAGGGGGATTCCCTTTCGCCTGTCTTGTTCAATTTGGCATTAGAACATGCCATTAGGGAGGTAGTGCGTACCGGAAAAGGGTTGGATCTGGGTGGGACAATATCCGTGCTGGGCTTGCTGATGATCTGGTACTGTTAAGCAAAGACGTGGACTCTATAAAACTAAATACAACGTTAATGAACGCAGGTAAAGAAATAGGTCTCGAAATAAACGCGGATAAAACAAAATATATGGTTAGTTGCAAAAATGGCGATACTACTGGTGATATCGATATAGATGGTAATATGTTTGAACAGGTAGAGAAGTTTAGGTATCTAGGTTCTACTATAACTAGAAAAAACGAAATCGAAGAAGAGATTAAGGTTAGACTGAAGGCGGGAAATGCTTGTTATTTTTTCTGTGACAAAACTACTTAGCTCGCGCCTCTTGTCCCAGAACTTAAAAATTACAATCTATAAAACCATTATCTCACCTACAGTTCTATATGGATGCGAAACTTGGCCGCTTACATTAAGGGGTAAGCAGCGTCTTAAGGTTTTTGAAAATAAAGTATTGTGTAGAATATTCGGACCGAAGAAGGATGAGTTAACCGCAGAATTCAGACGGTTACACAACGCCGAATTGCGTGAACTGTATCCGGGTAATATTTGCTGTACTGAATGGTAAACTTCCGAGGGGTAGGCCGAAGTGAAGGTGGGAGTATTGCATTAAAGCTGATCTGAAGGGACTTAGTTTGGACGACGAACGGTGGAGGGAGGTGTGTCATAAGCGACTGGTGGTGTCTGCATCGAATCTTCGGGTTCGCTAAGCCTTTTATTATCATCATTAATATTCTAATATATTTAAGTAAATTTGGAGACTGTACATACTTGCCTATTCCCTGTGACTACTTTTCACTTATAGCATATCTGGATTACTTATTGCCTTTAAGTTTGACTAATTATGAAATTTGAGATTAAAAACAGTTCATGCATGTTCTTGAACGATTGATGTTTTTCTATTTTGTATATGTAACTGTGTTTTTATTTTTCAGGTAAAAAAACCTGACAAGTGAAATAGAAAGTAAAGAAGCGGGCGGTTGATGTTGAGTCCAACGGTCATGGCGTGTCCTATTGCATGACCTTGACTTGATGTATATAAAGTGAGATGGCTGCTTGGAGGAGAGCGGTCGCCATTGTCTCCTCTTGGGCAGCTACTTAGTACCTCGGCTAGTAATAAATTGTTTCTTCACAATTTTTTATACTTTATTTTTTATTTGTTTAAACAATTGTTGAATTATGGGCCTGTTACCAGTTTGGCCTATGGAATGACAGTTGAAAGAAAGTTAATATAAATGTTATATAAAAACAAAAATTTTATTTTTTTTTTCTCCCTTTTTATTCTTTTTTAACTTGGAAAAAGTTACTATCTGTCACAAAAAAATGTAAGTTGAATTGAACTTAGAAGTTCATAAGTTTAATTAAGTTGAAGTTTTCTGCATCATATCGTGACGCGAAGAAAAACGGATGCGGTACATCATCTGCAAAGCCAAATATCTCTGGTCCCAAACTTCTCTGTATTTGGTGGAATCAGTATTGCCTAATTTATTATGAGCTGCTCAACCCAAACAAAACTATCATGAGAGATTAGCTATCGACTACAATTGATGTGTTAGGGCCAAGCTCTGAGGGAAAAATAGTGATGAGTGCAGAGATATGACAAGGTAAGGTGATTTCGTTACACGACTACACTCAGCCACATGTTGTTAAACCAGTAAATACATATCTGAAAACACTCAAATGGGAAATCCTGCTCCATGTGCCATATTCATCAGATTTAGCCCTTTCTGATTATCACTAATTTTTTTTTTTTTTTATGGCATATGGCCTGGAGAAGTCACTACCACTATCCATTTCTTTTTAAAATTCTTATTTGGTTTTTGATCAGTAGATCCCAAAATGACTCTCTAGATAGTGTTCCTTGAAAACAATACTTTCGATATTATTTTTAAAAGTTATTACAATTTTTATTACTCGATATTATTATAAACTTATTTAGAGAAGTGCTGTTTAAATTTAATCTAGAGGAAAAAGAAGGGGTCATAAGTGAGGAGTTACTTAAAATAATTATTTAATTCAATAATTCATAGGGTACTCTTAATTAATAATATCCCGAATCAGTTTAGATTTTACTATGTTAGCCTAATATAACACGAAATACACTGTTTTTAACAGGACTAATAAATTAGTTCTAATCATCCAAAGGTTAACTGAGTTAGTGGTAATGGATTATTGCACATGAAAGATTTAATCTCGACCAAATCATCGCTATAAGTTTTCGAGCTTATTTCAGTTGAGTTAGTCTCTCTTACTTAGTTTTTATAATTTATCAATGCTGGTACTATTTACAATAATTTCTTCAAAGATCAGGCCATCAATGGAAGTCTTTATATAAATAATTTCATTTTACGCCTTAAAATAAGGAGCTTTTGGTATTTTCATATTCGTATCATTTATCTTAACATTTTTTTATTTAAAAATTATAAATGATTAGAACAGTGTATTCTCTTCATCTATTATTATATTTCATAGAGAACAGAAACATCTCTTTTTCAGTACAATCTTACTAACCTAATAATTTCTTACATATACAAGTCTATAAAAACAGCCATAACTATCTTTTATTTATTTGAAATTACTACTTTGTATCATATTGAACAGGAACACTACTGAAGTAACTAAGACTGTAATAATAAAACATACCAAGTAGTATTCCCAAGATATAATAACATAAATATAAATACTTATTAAGAAATAAAAGAGAAATTACAACATAGTTTTTATATTCATATTTTATTAAAAAAATCAAAAATACAACATGAACAATATACCATTGTCAACAAAAAAAAATAAATTAAAAGTATATATTAAAAATTTCTTCATAGTTAAACAATAACTAAGTGGGTTCACTTCTCCGGGTAGATTGTTTTTAAACTATTTCATAATTTGTTAAATCCATTATTATAAAGTTGCAATTGATTTGCTTGTCTACTTAATACACAGACAGAAGGCACTGGTGAAATCGATTAGTAAGGCATGGATTTACAAAAGATTTCAAAAATATTTCTTTTCTTTTTTTTTACTATACACCTGTGTATCACATTGAGGTTAATCGTTAGATGGTTATATATGCTGCTTGATATGAGTGCGTAAGCGACCTAGCTGAGTGGTATGGTAGGGACACATTTCACAGCTGTAAGGTCTATTATTGTCAAAATGAGTAGCCATATGGTTTTTCAGTCTCACAGCACGGCTTGTTGCAAAATTACATATGGTACAAACGAACGGTTTCTCTCCTGTATGTCTCATCATGTGGCGTTTGAAATGGTCGCTGCGTAATGTTGTGTATCCACACTCGTTACAACGATGAGGACCTTTCTCTCGTTTGCGCTTGACTGGTTTTTCTAATTAAAAAAATCAAATTCATAAGTTAATTGAAGTTTATATTATAAAGTACTCTGTAATAATGAATCATAAAAAATTATTGTACGTGATATTAATCTTGTTTAGCTGTGTCTTATGAAATGTCAGTTTTGAGGTGAGTTGAATACATTAATAATCTATCAACTACTTTGGCATGGCATTCAATAGTTGGCTATTTCTACCTTAATTTTCACTTTGGTTCTCAGTTGCATAATTGGACAATATTTAACAGAAGAGAACCAATACATACTGCACATCTTTTGAATAAACTCAAGTCAAAAGTTTATGGTCTTGGGAAATGAAGAAGCTTTCAAATAAATTTATTGTCTTTTTGTCACAAACCTAATTATACTCAACATTTTATCCACCCCCAAAAAGTTGTTATTATATTGATTTAAGAACAATTAACTTGATTGCTATTTTATTTTTCTCATTAAAACAGAAATATTGTTTTATTTTTTGATTTTTCGATAAAGAACCCAGACCAAGAGATGGCTACTCTAAAAATCTTTTCTGCTCAAAATAGGAAGCACTTATCTCCTTAAGAAACTTTCTAATCAATACTAAAATACTTTTATTTGAAAAAAAAAATTTACTAATCTTACCAGAATTTTCATCTTCTATTTCTTCCAATTTCACTTCTAGTGGCCATTCTGAAAAAAAGCAAGAATAGATGTATTCTCATGTTTATTACCAAAACTAAAAGTTGCATTATATAGTATTTCATACAGTTTAAGTTAAAATTTCTTTTTATAAAAATGTAGTGAATTCTCTCAAAATGACAATTTAAAACTAAATCCAGTGCCTTCAAATAGAAAATTAAAAAAAAAAAATTCAATAAAATAATACTGACTTCTCTAGAAATTCCAACCTAGACATCCAACCACATATGTAATATTGTAATAATATAAAAACAAAAATAAATCGCAAACTACAATAAAAAATATTGCATTTTCAGATTCCATCACTGAAATGCCTAAGAAATCAGAAAATCAAACAAAAGGAGGTACAATGATAATTATTTTTCATATTAAGGTACTAAACAAAAAAATCTGGTGCGCGCAACACACAAATATTAGTATTTGAAGAAAAACCTTAACAATAACAAAGAAGTTAATGACATAGTCTGTCCCTTATCACTTCAAGCGGTTTTAAAAAACAACATTTTTACTATAAAAAGAAAACTGGTGGGTTATATAGCATGTTTTGAAATAAAGTATGTTTCCTAAACTCAAGGTACATTGCTATGATTTTTTCAACGCACTGGATTAATTTGGTCCTGCAACTTAACGGAATCATTTCACACAGTTAAGTTTCTCGAACAAAGCGAGTTCATACACTAAACTGGTCGAGAAACTTAACCGTGTAACAGAGCCTTTACAGCTTTAATTTAAGTTTAAAAAGTATTTTAATTTAATTATAAAGTAAATGCTGTAATGAAACTAGTTCCAAAATATTATTATTGAAATATCTACTTAATTTGAAAAACAAAATTTTAAAGATAATACAATAATTCATACCTGATTCTTCTTCTTCCTCAATTTCATCCGTTGGCTCATCTTTTACTAGAAAAAATAAATTAATAATAAAATTTAGAATAGTTATTTACATTAAATATTTTTTTAAATAATTATAAAATAAATCAATCCTCTAACAGTCTAAGAAGGATGTAGGAGTGCAGGAGCAAAGATAGAGGTTCCAGATTCGTGCCTTCAAATTTTCTTGAGAGACAGTGAATTCAGCACTCATTAATTCCATAATTGATTTCGGGAATGACTGAAAATCTATCTGAGATAGCACTTGCCAAAAGAATGTTTCACATTCTCACAAAAAAAAATAATTTTATTTTGTGAGCAAATAATTGGACAGTTAAACCCTATCATGGCTTGGAATAAGAACTATCTGATATTAAAACTCATTTAATTGTATACTGATATAATGAGTTTAATTAAAATTGTTAGTATAAAAGCAATGATTTAAAGTACCATTTCCAGTTGGTCGATTTTTATAAAAATGTTTCTGTTACATCCCAGATGTATTACCTACGTTAGAGCCGTTTTTGAGAAAAATGTGTAAAATCTTATATAAAGTGGCACTTCCCGTTAGCCGATTTTGACGAAAAAGTGGCTGCAGCTTTCCAAGCATGTACGAACCTTGAATATGCAGTTTCAGTAGCATACGACTTTTCATTTTTGAGCTAGGCGGTTCACGTACAAACAGACCTTTTTGCGACAATTGGTTATTTGGACTAGGGGATCTTGAAAGGTGTATATCTATTGAAAACTCAGATTCAAAATTTATCACTATCGCAATACTTTCTCTTAATTCATATTTCATAAATGAGAGGTAAGTGAAATTAAAAACATACATATATATTTTCTTCCATACAATTAGCAATGAATCTATTTTTCAGAATTAACCATTCTGAAACCAAAGACACTAAAGAGAGGACAAGCTCATCATGCATTTATGTTCAAAATTTTTTGAGAAGTGAATTCTTTTCCATAAGCTTTAATTCTTTAAATGTTACCAGATTCAAGAAATTTAATTATCGTAATTGTTTAACTTAAGTTTCTAAATGTTTAAATTAGAGGAGTTAATAACTTTTGTTCACAATTATCATTTTATTGTAATTTTCTTAGTGTAGGTCACCAAATTATTGTCATGGCAATGAAAAATAAAACAAAGATACAGTAGTTTAGTTATTAATAAATGAGCAATAAACCACAATATCTATTACCTCCATATCCAGAATAGCCATAGCAGCTAAATAATTAGATTAAAAAATATGATGTTGAAAATAAACATAATTTAAAAATATAAATTGAAGGGTTTGCTAAAAAAAAATAGAAAATAACCTAAGCCCCTTATGAGGGACTCCGTTCTTACATTTTGTGGCTATAAAATAAAAAAAAGTAACATTTCCTTCCAACTACCTCCTTTTTACAGCATACCCTTCAATTGAATATTTAACTCATAGTCACACAGCTATAGTAAATTGAGAATATCTTGATTCACTCAAAAGAATATAAATGTGCCAACTTCTTTCATTAACACTTATAAGCATAAAGCATAATATAAATAAGAATGCATAGCATATACAAATAGAATAAAAGCTTATTTAATGATAATCTAAGTGTAATCTGCTACCTCGTTAAAGCACACTCAAATCTAGCATGCACGACTTCTATTACAAAAGAAAAATGTACTTATTATGACCACAGATACTGTCAAAGTACCCACTACAAATAATGTGTACTGCCTGGTTATCATAGAATTTTCTGATTACTTTATCATCATAAAGAATTTTAAAAATAAATCAAAAATCTTCAAAGTTCAGCTATAAACAGTTTGATCCCAATACCATAAATTCCCACAGGATCCCATTAAAAACTAAATCACATCTAATATGGATGATTGTCTTTAAAACATAACATAAAATATTTTTCCATGAACTGGCTTGAACATAACTATTACTTCAATAATACCATATTTAATAATATAAAAATAATTAATAATCAAAGCCCGTGAGAAGGTTTATAAGTACAATACTACCGAGAACTGTTGACCAGTCAAGGGGAGGGGTCAGCAACTGATCATATCTCCTTATGCCATTTTCATTGCGAAAACAAACTGTTTCTTCGTTCTTAAAAAATATATTTTATTATATTTCATTTCAGAATCATTTCTTCAAAAAGTACCTCCAGCTTCTAAAAAGCTGAGTATTATCATATTCTCTATGATAAGAACTAAGTTAAGAGAAAACTGGCCAGCAATGAAGTGTAATAGAATGGGGACGTGACTAGGACTTCTCTCGCCTGGATCAGTCAACACTTCTTGGTCCTACTCTAGGACAACTTTTCTTAAAAGCGAAAACCTTACTTGTTATCATGAAATTGAAAAAAATATATATACAAGCATGAATACAACTCACACCTGATTCAAAGCATTTAATTCCTGTTACCAGATAACAGCTGAGAATAAATTAAAGCAAAGCATTCTACAATTGCTTATCTTATCTATAATTTTTAAAAAACAAAAAAATTTTGCCTCAGTAAAATAAGGCAAAGCTGCTCTATGATCAATATTGGGATGAGTAAAAATAAATTTTCTTTTCAATTAGAAATTTTCTTGTTTTATTAACAAAAATTAACAGCATCATAAAGTAATGAGATGAGCTGATTTGATCTATCTATTCAATCTCTGGAAATCGAACCATTCACAATAGGAAACAGTAAAATTGATGATAAATGTAGAGTGAATTAGCGATTCTGATTGCCAAATTTTGCGAATTTATTTAAGTACGCTACCTCTCTTACATTCAGCTTATACCACTACTCCACGCTCAGCCTCATTCCTCCTGTATTTACGACATGTGAAAGAGCATCACAGCCAATGAATGTTTACATTCTTCCGATACTAATCATGTTTCCCAGTTCTATTTAGACCTTGGTTAATGAAGAATATCGCAACATCATTGACACTATCCCTCCTCAAATTAACTATAGTATACTGTACAATTATAACTATAACAGAAATAGAATGTCTATTGAAAAAAGTAAGAGTACAAGAGAGATATCATAGTCTCAAAAGAAGATGGTGAAACATTGAAATAAAACCTGTTAACTAATCATGCATTAGTACCTTTTTTGATTTATTATTTTCAATAATGAACCTTTGTGACCAACAAAGAAAAAAAATTTTAACTCTCCTCAAAAATTCTAGATTTTAAGTTCCAAGAATTATAAAAAACAAATGAAATAAAATAAACTCTGTCCACACACCATGGACTTTTATCCAAAACAACTGGCCCAATTCTTTTTTTTTTTATATTTGTCACTCCAGGATGATACTCAGAACTTGACATTACCATTTATCATTTTGCTTCAAAATGGTGACCATTTTGACCAGAAATACCATATCCTCCTAACTCGGCTATTTCACAAAGCAAAAATATAGTGTTTTGATCATTTTAACACAGAAAAAAAAACTTTTAAAAGTAATTATAAAAAATCATCGACGAGGAGGGAAGCAATAGGCATGTGGCCTTTTAATATACTCGCATTGCCCAATTTCATGCTCACTTTCAGAAAAATGGGATGAATGTAAAGGGAGTAAGACAGAAGGACAGGAAGAATCATTATCCTGTTAGAAATATAATTGATGATTCAAGATAAATTAAGAAAATTAGGTACCAAAACATCTTGACATCTGTTGACAAAAGCCGTCACAAGTGAAAAAAGTTGGTCTCATTACACCTTTCTTATCAAGATGGAGTTATCGCTCTTGAACTTTATTATAAAAAAGGATCCAACATTCAAACTTCCATTAATCAAAAATATCAGTATATCAAACCTTGAATTTTCATTAGAAAAAATATCTGTATATAAAATGAAATTGTAATTGCCAACAAGAAATGTGATCTCAAGAATGGATAATAGATTAACATCACATCATTAATTCAACACTGGAATTCGAATAGATAACAATTTTTTACTCACCCCTAATATAAAATTAGTAAAAATCAGTAAGACAATGTAGACAATTGTCATTTGGTTATTTAAATTACTCATATAAAATTTAAGTTTGCCAAGACAATATATTTAGATACCGTGGTTTATAAATTTTGAATAAAAAATAATTATGATCAAAATTACAATAAAGGTGATTTTTTGGCTAGATAAATCTACCTGGTGAAGGTTCGAGATAGAAGGAAGACACTCCAAATTAGGACAGAGCCTTCACTAAATCTAAACGATTAGTCAAACACCACCACCCTAAGAAATGAGAATCAAATCGTTACTGGCATTCAAATTTCCATTCATTAACCAATCCAAGTAAATTCATTTATACAACATTGCATAATATCACATAATGAAATGAGGCATACAAAACAAACACAATGCACTTTAAATTTGATACACCTCATTTCATGTTATTTTCAATTTTGCTTGAGAATTAAAACATAGTAAGAAATAAATCTAACATTTTGTTTTCCTTAGTTAATTAGATCACTTTTAATAATTAAATAAATGTAATTTATCCCGTAGGCATTAGATATATTTTTTCTTAAATTGATAAATCATAAATTATTATCCGGGAACAAACATGCAGAAATCCATACACATCTAAAAAAGCACATCTTCAAAATAAATTCAAAACCAAAAAAATTTTAGTATCGCATGGCCAATTCATAGAATTACTAACAAACATCTAAGAAAATAATGAAATAAAACAAAATTACATTAGTTATCATGGCCATAATGGAAATGGGGTTGAGCAGAAACCAAAAAGCAAAAATGCGTTAACTAATGGAAACAAATGTAACATAGCTCACATAAATGAATGCTTGATTAATCAACAAAATTAAATTTTAAATAGTAGCTGATTCTAATAATGTAGTAAAAATTTATAATATAATTATTATTAATGATGTATTATTAGTATGATGTGATATAATATGAGAAGGAGTTGGTAGAGGGGTGCAGTCAAATAAATACTAAATTTTTATAAAATAATATTTTAACAATTAAAAATACTATATTTTTTTTAATTTAGTATTTATTTGACCGGACCCCCCAACCAACTACTTCTCAAATTATTATTAATATTTGTTTATCTAACTATAAATTAAAATATTATAACAAAAACTGATAAAATTAAATATTTATGGATTAATTAGTAATATACAGTTTATTTTCACAAAATTATAAAAGGATAAAGAATTCTGCATTAAAAATTGTGTAGAAAATTAAATTCCTAATATAAATTGTCGATTTTTGAGCAAGTCTTAATAACTAGTGTCTCGTGAAAAAATAACATATATGGACATAAGGTTAAAAATAAATGGTTAACTAAAAGTGGTTCTTGAAATGAAATTTTAACTTTTAATAGTGATCAGTTTTGGTAAGCCTAAAATCTTTATTTTCAATTTCATCACTAGAACTTTTTGCTTTACAACTTTTTACAAAATTTTTATTTAAAAATTCTGTTGAAAAAATTCATTTCGCCAAAAATGCAATCTAAAAAATTGTAATGAAACCGTACATTCTTAGCAATTCAGGCAAAGCATACATAAAAATCAAGTAAATTATTTAAGAACAATTAAATCTGTAATCAAAGCACAATAACTGTTTTGTTTTTTTTCTCATCCAGCATAACCTTTTTTTTAAGAACTTAAATAAATCTTAAAATTGTTTCCATAAACAAAAAAGTCACTTAGAACTTCTATTTTAAAAACTTTTCACCTAATAAGTTATACAGAAACTGTTAAAATGGAACTTTCTTCAATGTTGGAATAACTATAAATGTTCCTTCAGTGAAATTAACTCTGAAGGAGTAATATGATTTTTTTTTTTACAATTTTGTACTTTTTGCTTGAATGCTCAGAATATAAACATGTATGTTTGTGATTTTTAAGTGTTAATAGTTATGTACAGTATAAAATAATGTTTATATAGTATAAAATGGATGTAAAATTATTTATTTTTTTAAAAAAGGATCATTTAAATCCCAATATATTTAGTAGTCATAATTATTTAAAATATATTATATTAAATTACGTAACAAATGTTCTGATGTTCAGGCTCTTTATTTTATTCATTTTCAACAGAATTAATACATAAATTAAATTTTAAGTATTGAAAATTATTGCTCTCAGCAACTCTACGAAAAGAAGATGGAGCCTGGGATGTGGGAAAATCTGAACTCTTTGCTCTTTCTTGTATTTAAACCGTTTACAAACTTAACAAACACAGAACATGAGACTCTAGAACTTAACACATTAGATATCTCACTTCAGCTGACACTACCACCTCCTTCTTTTACTCCATCTCAGGTTGCACTTAAAATCAAACAATTACCGAAAAGAAAAGCTCCTGGTTATGACTTAATAATAGCCGAAGCACTCCAATAAATGCCCAAGAAAGATCTAGTATATCTGACATCAATTTACAACTGTATACTAAGAACTTCGAAATTCCCATTACAATGGCAATATTAAGAAGATTCACAAATCCGGTAGACATATACAATCCTTCATCGTACAGACCCATTAGCCTCCTTCCTATATGCTCAGAAGTTTTTGAAAAAATAATATACAAGACTTGTTGACATATTGACTGACCAACAGGTAATACATGACCACCAATCCGGCTTTTGCAAATTCCATTCGACGACATATCAATTACACAGAGTTACAGACTACATTGCTGGATCTTTAAAACAAAAAATATATGCAACTGGAGTATTTTAGGATGTTGCTCAGGCGCTTGATACAGTCTGGCACCAGAGTCTTCTCTTTAAACTTAAGACTATACTGCCATATACATACTATATTATCCTTCAATCATTCCTCTTCGACAAATTTTTTTCAGTTCGGCAGGCCTCGGAAATGTTTTCAGTCCGTCCAATCTTGGCAGGAGATCCCCAAGGTTCAATACTCGGCCCTCTTCTTCACATTGTATACACTTATGATATACCTATTAGTATACCTAGTTCTTGACAGCTACTTATTCAGACGATACAACAATTTTCATAAAACACCAAGACACTAAACAGGCCTCACTAACTGCACAATATCACTTACTAAAATTACAAGTTTGGTTCACACTATGGAAAATTTGACTTAATCATGACAAATCCAAACATATAACATTTACTCTTCGAAAAAACACCTGCCGTCCAGTTTATATTGACAACAATCCAATTCCTCAAATGGACACGGTACTTGACCTTAGATTCACCTTCGACAGAAGGATGACATGGGACCCACATGTTAAAATGAAACATAAGACACTTAACAAATGACTCAAACTACTTTACTCTTTTTTTGATGAATCTTCTAAACTAAAAATGAGACAGAAACTTAATATATATACATACTTACTTAAACCCATATGGACGTACTCATCACAAATATACGGTATTGCTAAAAAGACCCACCTACAAAACTTCAAACCTTCCAGTCAAAATTGTTACGACTCATAACAAAAGCACCTTGGTACATGACTAATAAAACTCTACATACTGACCTCCAACAGTTGACTTCCAACTTCCAACAGTTGACCAACATATAACGATCCTATATCAACAACTTAATACTAATTTAAATGGACATAATAACAGACATGACCACAGCTGACAGATTCAAATACCTCGGCTCCACAATAAGCTCAATAAATGATCAACTAACAAAGATAGACCAGTGAATAACAAGTGGGAACAGATCTTTCTTCTCTCTTTCCAGGGTAGTGAAATCCAGAAATCTAAAAATAAGGGTGTACACCGCCGTGATTAAGCCAGTTCTGCTGTACGGTTGTGAAACCTGGGCTCTAACCGGCACATTAGAATTGAGAGATTCGAAAGAACAGTTCTACGTAGGATAATAGGACCTATATGGGACCAGAACCTTGACACATTGAGGAAAAGGAACAATAAAGAATTGCTGAAAGAAACGGGTCAGTCAATATCTCATGACATGAAGGCAAGAAGGTTAAGATGGGCAGGGCATGTAGCACGTAGCAATCCATCAGGACATTCTACACAACTTTACACAACAATGAATGCCAGAGTAGTAGGCAAGAAACCATGTGGGAGGCCAAAAACCAGATGGATAGATTGGATAAACAAAGATACGGCTGAGCTTCATGAAACAAACTGGAAAGCAGTAGCCCAAGATAGGCAGAGGTGGAGAAGGCTGGTTTAGGCGGCCAAAGATCTACAAGGTCTGTAGAGATAACCGAAAAAAAAAAAAAAACAACTATATATATATATATATATATATATATATATATATATATAATTAAAATTATTATGTATATATTAAATGTATATTATTTATATATACATTTTTTTTAATTTTATTTATTTCCTGATAAAATAATTTTTTTTTGTCTATAAAAAGTGTATTTGCACCTATCATCTATCTATCTATCTATATATATATATATATATATATATATATATATATATATATATATATATATATATATATGGATTAATTTACTGGTGAAATTTGATGAATCTCTGACTTAAAAGATTATTTCATTTTACAGAAAAAGAGATTACTAATTACTATAAAGCTTGATTCTCTTTAATGGACAACAGTCTATTGATAACAATAAGAGATCAATAGTTATAGTAAAAAGAACGAATGAATGGGCAACAGATCTGCAACAGGTCAATTTTTTTTATCAAAGTTTTACAGCATAACTTCATTAAACTGTAAATCGAAAAGTCTGAATAATTGTGTTAATAAAATGGATTAAATTTCATGAAAAATTTGTCAAGTTAACAGCTTTCATAACATTAAATGATGTTAATTCCTTAATAGTATCAAAAAGCAATCACTACTCAATTATTACTTTTAGCAACAATAAAACATTCTAAACAATATACTCACTTTCTATCTGCGGGTTAGGCTTGTGCCCTTGCCTAAGTATATGCCTCTTAAGATGAATAGAATGGGTTGTGGCATAACCACACGTCATACATGTGTAAGGCTTCTCCCCCGTATGCCTCATCATATGCCTTTTAAAGTGATCCTTTCTCATTGTCGTGTAGCCACATTCACAACAGGTACGAGTCTTCTTTCCTTCCCTCCCAGTGCTTCCAATAGTGAAAAGCTCTTGCTCTGGATGCCGTAGTACATGGCGTTTAAAATGGTCCCTTCGCGTGGTACTGTAGTCACAATGTGGGCAACAACTTACCTTTGGGTTGCGACTTCTTTTATGCTTTCGAGGAGGAATTACATATTCCTTGTTAAATTCTAAAAATTAAATAACACAAAATTATTTTGTGAACAATAGTTATTGTATAAAATCTTCTTTTAAAATAATATAAAACTAATTATAATTAAATATTATAAATGCAATAGAATTAAATGTACTCTAGGTTTATTTTAAAAATAAATTGAAAATATTGCAGGTTTATTTTAAAAAGTCATTTAGTAATATTTCATAAAATTAAACCGAAAAGTATAAGAAGTGGTACTTCTCTGTTATTGCTCCACCAGTAAAAAAATTAAGTTTTTCTAAAAATTATTATATGGTAAAATTAGAATTAAAAAGATATGGTACAAAACATTACTTATTAACAAGAAGATCATTGTGAAATAATGAATATCTTTTATAATTAAGGTAAATGGATCCATAGCTCAAATTTGTTGGCACCAAATAAAGTCTGCTAAATACGAATCTAGTAAAGTTTTGTGGGTTATGGCACATATTTAAATTATAATTTTTAAAAAACTTGGTTTTTTAACTGGTGGGCAATAACAGAAAAGTACAAGAGAAGTTAGTCAGGGGAGGGGAGGAGAAGGGTGAGGTCACAGTTACACACATAATAAATATGTTAAATTATTATTTATTGGAGAGTCTATTATTATTATTCGACCTACATAGTAGATCTTCATCAGGTGTTGTGTCCAGCAATACCGGAAGAACCAAAGAAACTTAAAACTTTTTCTTTAAATTAGAGCTATGGTCAATTATTTTCATACTGTAATAAATCATTAAGAGAAACTATTTTTGAGATATAAAAAAATTTGTGACATTTTGATGCACTTACTGTTGATAATATTTTGGATTGATAAATAAGGTCAAAATTCACAAAAATATACTTAAAGATTTAGTCCCTAGTAATAAAATGTAAATATTGAGTTATTTTCATTTAGAATATCTTTACCTTGAAAATTCTAGTACCTTTAAATTTGTGATTGTTTAGATTAAATATTGAACTATCTAAAAATTATTCATTATTGATATTTATTGTTCTATAACAGTAGTATTACATATAAATTATATGGGTCCCGATCTTGTTATGGTACAACTGTAACAAGAAAATTATGGCCAAAGGGTCTGGTACCTACAGATGCGTATAAAATACATGATCCCAGATTATAAAATTTAGTAAAACATACCTTGTCAATATTTGTTAAATTAGGTATGATAACAAATTGATTTATTTTCAGTTTTTATCTCCTAAGACATGTGGAGTCTTAAAGATACCACAGTTGCATGGGATACTTTTACAACATTGAGGTTTTAAAAAATGAATTCTATTTATTGATTAAGTCTAAATTGGTAAATTAAATATTTATTGAAAAGTTAAATAATTAAGTGTAGCTCTGAGATTCATTACATACTTCGAAGAGTATAAAAAGAGACTTATTGATATTTTTAATAGAAATACATACATTCTGTTCACATACTTAAATTTTCTTGGTTGTTAATATCACAATAGTGGTGATGGACTTCTTATCCACATCTAGCTTCTATATTCCTCTCTTAAGATGTGAGAGAAATATAAATCAAGGATCATGCTTTTTTGTTTGTACCAACCAAATAGGTCTTATAATACTGGGTTAGTATAACTCTAGAGGACAGGATGGCAGAGCATGTTGGGCATAGGTTCATGAGTGCCCGGTCCTGAAAGTTGTGGGTTCGATTCCCACTTGGGTCAGTAAATTTTCATTTCCTGGCAGCCCTGGGAAATGGATAGAGACATTCCCACTCTGACGGCGGCAACCTCAAGGTAGCCATCAGAGGTTGGCAAAAAGGACACCAATAGGCCCACTTGCCGGAACCAGTAGTATAACTCTATAGATAACAGGGTCTCACGATTAAGACAGAAGGGGATATATTCCAGAGAGACAAAGTAATTACTTATTTTATAACTGTTTTTTTTTTTTTTTTCATTATAATCATTATACAGTAAATAGAATCACCAATCGTGTGTATTAAATAGGTCTTTTTTCTCTCCCGTATGCCAGAAATGGCGAAATAAAGGGTAAACGACAAAAAAAAAAAAAAAAAAAAAATGTTTTCTGGATAATAATATACTGTTTATATAAATAAAGGGTTTCGCCTTATAGCTTCAAATGTATTAGGGAGGAGAAGGATAAAAATCTTACACATGAACTCCCAGAAAGGTATACCAGTATATATAAATAGATGAAATATTCATATTTCAAAACAATTTTATGGTTCAATACATAAATTTGAGTAGTAACAGTAACAATATATGAAAAAAAAAAAAAACTGTGTAATCTAATGAAAATTAACAAGGTAAAAGAGTTGTTCTTCAAGAATAATAAATATATGACCTAAAACCGTTTGAATAATTCAACAATAGTATATTTTCAACATGGTAGGATGCATAAAATCATTATATTCTTCTAAATCTATTTATTTTTTTATTAAAAACAATGACAATTTTCTAAATTTAATAAAGGTGAATATTGCCAAATAAAAACAAATTTTTAATGATGACACAATTACGTTTAATTAATTAATCAAAATTTAATGCCCTACAATGATATTTGTCAAAACAAAACATCCAATTTATAATATATTTATCATATAAATGTTAAATAAACTAAGATATCTATGAATTTAAAGAATTGGGTCACTGGCAAGAAAATTGAAAACTTCATCATTTATCGAGAAAATTTTGATGTTCCTATTCAGATACTTTACAAAATTTGGTGTTAACTGTATGAAAATTAGATTAAAGAAATCAGTGAACATTTTAACTAGACATTAACTAAAAAACAAACAAATTGTTGACAGTTTTATGCTTCATAAGACACTTAATCCACTTGTTCTGAGTATTAAACTTGTTAATTAAATCTTTTGACTATGGAATATAAGTAATGTACGATATACAAACTTGTGAACATCAAGTAACACAGAAATGTTTTCTAACCTTCAACAACAATGTTTCTATATATTAAGCACTTAAAACATGGAGGTCTGCAATCATAAGTAATTATAAAAATTAAGAACACTGATTTATACTATAAAACAGACAATAAAAAGAATTCAATAACAGTGTGAGAAGGAAAATAATTATTACAACCACTAAAAAATATTTATTTTTCCAAATCTAGAATACCTGCAACATCTTCTTCTGTTTCCAATTTTACTTCCACGGGCCATATATCAATCAAATTTTCATCTGTAATAATATCACAACTAATAACCATAATATATTGATAAAATGCTTATTTGTCAATATTATATTTCATTATCGAGCTTGATAAATGAACAAAAATATTAAAACTTTAAGAATGAAATAAAATAATCCTATATAGTTCAATATATAGTAATAAAACACTTTTAATTATGCAAATCAGCTTAAGCTAATAAATACATTTTACAACAAAGACAAATAATGCCATGGTAACTGTTCCATTTCGAAAACTAAAGCTTTATCAGAATTACCTTCTGCAAATTCCATCAGAAAAATATCATGACGGAAAGCTGGATCCAAAAAACATTTTAATTTGAAAACATCCAAGGGAAAGGTTAAGTTGAGTAATAGACTTTTTTATAGAGGTTATATGTCATTATGCGACCAATACAAATTTACCATAAAGTGACGTCACAAGTAGCCTCTCCTTCATGATAATTAACTTCTTTGACATACTTTCAAAATGTTTTTCTTTTTTGTTTATAACATTTTAATAGAATTACAGAATGACTAATTTTTAAAAGTAATTCGTTTTACATATTTTAAGAAAATTTCGCCTTTTAAAAGTATTTAGTTATTTCAATCTCTATTACCATATGTTGGCAACTTAGTTTAACTCTGTATATAAAACAAAAGAAGTAATAACATCTGTAAGTAATATCTGAGCTATTAATAGTTCTTGACAGATGAAGCTTGACTGAGAAATGTATCATGATTGTCTCTATAACAAATAATAAAATAGAAAATTTCCTTACTAATGAAATATAATTCTATTTGGATAAATTGTTTTTATATATTGATGTCGACCGTTATAATAATCAAGAAGGAGATGCTAATAATGCTAAAACGAATCACGGTCAAGATTGAAAAAAAAAAAAACCCTATATATCGTTTCGAATCCTGCAACACTGCCCATTTCCTTCAATAATCTCTATGACGTAGTCATTCTCTATCAAACTTACATACTTAACTTACTCCCTGGCATGCTATATCCACAGCTTCCGATTTAATTAATAAGAGTCCTTGAACTTTTCAAAAATCTTGGATTATGTAGAGGAAGGCAGATCTAACCTTACTTACCTTAACCCCTTAACATTATCAATTAAATAAAGTAATTTTTTTTTATCTATTGAAACATCCTCGTTACATGTGAGTAAGGCAACGAACCATGGAGCTTGGCAAATCTCTTCGATACTGAAAAACGCTAAATTCTTGAAAGAGAGAGCTGCCTTTTGGTTTTACTTCTGGGCAAATAAACAATACTAAACTGTAATTAGACTAATTCTAACCGCTATCACTTTTATGATTAACGCTGATAACGCTATCAATTTATGATTTTTAATTATACTAGGATGCTTGTAATATATTTATTTTTCACCTCTTCGAAATCTAGAGCGGTTCGATGAACTATAGAGAAAGAGACAGATCGTGTCAAGTTACTTGATTTCTTACCAAAACAGGGTACCCATTTAAAGGGATAAGCGCCAAGTCCGAGGAAACCTTTCAAAGAAGAAGCATTATTAACTAGAGGAATAGTTTCAATCTATAGTCCTGACCTGTTGAGTTTTGCGAAAAGACATGCCCAAAAATTACTTTGCTCGGTGACAGATAATTTACATGTATTTGTTGACCGCTGTGCCGGCCTTAATGTGGGTCAACAGAGGCAATCGCCCAGAGGCGCTGACCTCGAGGGGCGCTGCCCCATCTTCAGGAGCAATCGCTCCTTGTTAGAAAAACAAGTACAAAACGTATTAAAACAATTAATTTTAGCCTATCAATAATATAACTGTATTAGAGAAATATTGAATAAAATAAAATTCAAGTATTATCAAATATAAAACAGTTTAAGAGATAAATTTAATTTCTTAGGGGGGAGCTGATGTAATTGCCCAGGGGTGCCGAATGTCTAAGGCCGGCGCTGGTAGACCGTGCTTAACTATCACTGACATAACATACTGGAGATTAACATCTGAATAATACCACCAACAATTAAGTCAACTTCATAGCATGATTACCTAAAATTGTCTAATATGATAAATTTGTTTATAATTTGACTATAATCAAGTATAAGCATCATTTTATTGCTTCCTCACTACCGAAGGTAGGAAAGCATTGTATTTTTGCGAGAGGTTTGCCACGCGCTTGCCCACGCGTAAATGTACTTTCATAGATATGCCAATATTTCAGAAACCGCTCGTTCGATTTGGCTCAAAGTAAAAAGAAATGTGGATTTTGGTAAAATAATGATTCTGTACCGAATTCTGTCCTATCCTTTCTCATATATATGCTCAAACGCGTTTTCTTTGATATGTCTATATCTCTGAAACCGCTAGTTCGAATCTGCTCAAATTTGGAGGAAAGTTAGGGATTGGTTAACAGATAATTAAATAAGTATCCATTTTAATAAATTCTATCTACTACTCTAAAAAAAAAAAGACTTCCGCTTTTGGGTAAATAAACGTATCATTTGACACGCCTATAGTTGTAGGCTCGTTCAATTTGACCCAAACTTGGAGATAATTCGAATAATGGTTCAGAAATTGTCTAGTATCAATTTCATTTAATTCCATTCAATAATTAAAATTAATATAAATAACTGTTAACAATATAATGACTGAATCCAGTGAAATGTGAAAGGCATTGATCGCATGAAATACGGGTTAATACAATATTTTATGGGATTATAACATTTTAGATTTTCTTTTTCTTCTTCTTCTTTAGCTTCTCCCTTTCGTGTCTCTCAGCGTAAGAGGGTGAGCAGCCACGAACTCCACTACTCTCCGTTCTTTGCCTGATTCGGGGCTCGAAGCCAGGAATCAGGCAAAGAACGGAGAATAGTGGAGTTCGTGGCTGCTCACCCTCTTACGAGATCTTTGCTTCTTCCTTTGCAGTCTATCGATATACTGCAGGTATGACATTTTTGGGCTTCGTCGAGTTCTACTACCTTCCGGAGCATAGTCCATCGTCTTCAATGGGTCCCTATGTTCCTCCATCCTAATCACATGGTCAAGCCATTTCAATTGGCGGATTTGCAGAATCTCCTTCAATGAGGGAACCCACAACTCCAGGAGTATAATTTCGTTATGAACCCGGTCCCTCTTAGTCTTACCGGCTGTTCTTCGCAGAAACTTCATTTCAGCAGCAGTGACTCTGCTGTCTTATCTGTCGGTCAATATCCAGCTTTCAACCCCGTTTAAAAGTATTGGCAGGTACACATATTTAAATATATGGAGCTTGACGTTCTTGTCTACCTCCCGCTTTCCTACAACGGTGTTGCAAATCTGGTAGTAGACTGCATTTACTTTGCTTATTTTGTTGTATATTTCTAACTTTTTCCAATCTTTCTATGACAAGTTCCTAGGTAGATAAAGTTTGAGACCACTTCGATGCTATCCGATTATATATCGCCGATATATAATCTACACAATAGCTCTCCATTGCAGTATACATGCTTATCTTTATTTTGCCTTAATACAAGTAGTACCTTACTTTTGCTGGTATTGATCATCATTCCTTTCCGGTAGAGTTTCTCATACAATTCTGTCACTCCTGCTGCAACTTTCCATCCAAATCAGTGACAAGGACATCATCGGCATATAGTAGAAGCTGCATCACCACCGGACGCAGATTTCTTCTCTCCAGAACATCCTTTCTGTTATTATTTTAAAGAAGGCCGCCACCTCATCCATATAAATTAGAAATAGTAGTGGGCTCAATCCCCTTGTTTGAAGCACCTTGCCATGTCAAAGCAACCGGACTCCAACCCGCTCAGCCTAACAACTCCCTTTTGGTGTTGATAAATGGACTTTATAGCCTCCACTATGTTCCTTGGGACGTTTTTAGCTCTAAGAGCCTCCCATATTTCATGCCTGAGAACCGTCTGAAATGCTGCTTTCAGGTCAAGGAAAGCTAATTACATGTTTTTATCCCGGTCCTAAGATTTCTATAGAACATTTCTTAGGGAGAATATATGATCCTGAGTTTGCCGTCCTGGTCTAAACCCAGCTTGCTCTTTCCCAATAAGGTGTTCAACTAAGAGCCTTAATCTTCCTTTCAGGACAGTCATATAAAGCTTGTAGACCACCGGTGAGAGGCATATAGGACGATAGTTTGAGCATTCGATATCGGACCCTTTCTTGTGAATGGGTATAATGATATTGTATTCCCAATCAGTTGGGATCCTCTTCCCGTCCTAGGTTTTTTAACAGAGTACTTGTAGAGCTTTCACGATCTTGGGGCCACCATATTTCACAAAACTGCAATTATATTATCTCGTCCTGGTGCTTACCCATTCTTCATTCTCGAGATAGCTCTTTCTATTTCATCCTCTTCTAACGCCTCGGCAAACCCAGCCCCATTCCATTGTCATTCTGGGTTCTCTGGGTATATATGATCTGCATAGAATTGCTTGGTGTAACAATATAATGACTGAGAAATGTGGAAGGCATTTATCACATGGAATAGGGGTTAGGTTAGGTTAATACAATATTTTTATGAGGTTATAACATTTTAGGTTTTATTCAAAAAGTTAATTTATTCTGTGTTGTTTGGTTGATTCCAAACGTTGCTGATATGACACTTACTGCCTTCACTTAGATTTCACGCAATTATCTGTAAATATTACTTTTTAGTTTGTGAAAAAAAGTCTTATTTGGGATTGTGTTTATTTCTATTGAAGTTAAACAAGCCCGTCGTGGTCTTGATTTCCTCCTTAATCATCAAATTCGTGTGAAATTAATCATATTTTTATATTGCAGCTTAAATTAGTTTAGTACTGACTAAGAGAAAATATTGGTCTCGTTATCTCCGAACAAACAAAAAGTTTTATTTTTCCAATAGATTTATCGTTTCATCCATTTTACTAGTGAAAGATACCTATTAAGTATATATATTGCTACCGTTAGTACCAAAGTTCGTTTGTAACAATTTTCCATTTTTATTCTATTGCTGTTAAAGGTAACATTTCGTTGTATGCTACTGATATAGGTAACCTGGTACGATGGAAAATATCAGCGGAAAATATAATATGAAATTACACTAATAAACCATAAATAAATATTATGTTAATGTTAATTCATTCCTCCTGATTACATGTATATATCTTCAGCATTTAATGTGATTTTTTTCAATCACGATTCCGCATTTTATTATTTGCTGATGAACGAAATTCGTGGATATCAAACCCGCAAATGTTCCTTAACATTAATATATTGCCGAAAACGGCTTCTTCCGGAGATTTTATTCTCATACAAAAAAATAAAGACTTTGAAATCTAGATATTGTTTAGACAATGAAAACGGTGAAGAAGCTATACTGACTTTACTTTGCACCCTTTTTTTACTTTGAATTATCTTTATATGTAATTTGTGTTTTTGA